ACATTGATGTACGTGTACGCGTAGTAAGTGGTGAACCTACGTGTCTGTATGCGTGCGCGTGTGAGTGTGCACGTTACGTGTGTGCGATGTGATGAGTGCGAGTCGAATCGATGGACGATTATGTATTCACCGCGATGAGTATTGTAACAAGAATTAATCTCGATCGGCAAGAAGCGCGACAGACGCACGAAATACTGAAGTATCTGCGTTCGAATTTAGAACAAGTCGTTCGGATTACGATGACGTACGTCACAGCGAGAGTTGCTCTCGACTGATCTCACGAGTCTCAACTCGCCGGCCATATACAGCGGAAAATTTACGTACGCGATTGATAATCTATTTTCCGTTTATCGTTTCTTCTTCAATCGCAATCTACGTTACGCAACCTCTGCTATCTAAATATATATCAAATGTACATCACACAGATACGGTTAATTACGGTTATTTATATCTGGATGGAGGTATCGTGCGCGCGCGGGAGATAATATGTTGATGCGTAAATAATGATAACGAAACATTGGAGCAAACAGATATGTTGCATGATATTGTCGATTTTGCGATTGCGATAATCATCGTGAGATTTACCCGGAATTTTGTGCGCCTGCCTGTGTGCGATCGGATAGAAAGAGAGAAACAGAAAAAAAAATATATATATATACACACACACACACAAAAAGGAATATATCTGCTGTGTAATTTATTGTTAATTTGCGAATATTCCGGCCGTACTCTCGGCCGGCGTGTGGTTTCTCCATCTGGAGTCTCGTTTTATTTATTATCGCGCTTTATTAACGCGAGTCGTCGAAACAACGCGAAATACGCGCGCGAGAAATGAAGCGCGGCTCCGTCGCGCGGAGCTTAATGTATTCGCGTGTAACGCGAATCTGAAAGCGAGCGATTCGCTGACATTCGTCTTTCTTTCCCATCTTTTTTTCGCCTGTCGCTATTTTTCCTGCTTTCACGGCGAGCTGCACAATGCGAAGTGCATTTTGCACGACGCATTGCACGCGACGCTAAAAACGCCAGCAAATCGTCGTCTGCGCCGTGTCTCGCAATTGCATTGTTACAAGCGCCAAGTGTTTCGTGCTAAGCGCGCATATACGCGCGCGCACACAGTAAAATTCTCGTAATCCACGTACTAAAATAACAGCCACCATCGCGACGTAATAGACGACCGTTTTTTCCTCCCTTTCTTTTGCCTCTCGTGAGGACAGCCGTTGCCGTATCCGGAAAAATTTAATTTGCATCCGCGTGCTCGTTGTCCGGCTCGAGCAAAAGCGGATTCGCGCGACAAAGAGCGACCTTTTGACACGATGAACAGCTTCGTTCGCGTCAACAACGTCGACTGTCTGCGGCCTTTGCGCGTTTGTCAATCGTTATCATGATTGGGCTGAGAGAAGCGCAAAGTACTAGAAGCAACACTTTTTATCAATTTTCTCGACACTCTTGCGAAGATTTGGTCAAGTATTGAGATGTATATACACGGACGTTAATTATTTATTATTATTTATTTGTTTATCCCCAATCCCCATGTATGCGTCAATATTTAATAAAATCCGCGCTGGATTTTATTAAATATTGTCGACGACTGCCAGAATTTTGCCGGCTACCGGCTACGTTTGTGATCAAAAAGCTACTGTGATCAAAAAGTATTCGAACTTTATTTTTAAAAATCAAAATTACAATTCAATCATGAAAATTCTTATAGTCTTCTTCAAAGTAGTCCCCATTGCTTGCAATGCATATATGCCAGCGTTTGATCCAGTCCTGGAAATATCATCACGCGGTATGGCCTTCAATTCATGCAGCGATTTTTCTTTCATGTCCTCGATCGATTCGAAACGCTGTGCGCGAAGTGGTTTTTTTCAGTAGGGGGAATAGGAAAAAGTCGCAGGGTGCCATATCTGATGAATACGGTGCTTGCGGAGCGACATTCGTTGAGTTTTTTATCAGAAATTCACGCGCAAGTGTCGAGGTATGCGATGGTGCGTTGTCGTGATGCAAAATCCACTAGTTGTTTTCCCACAATTCCGATCGTTTCTTACGGATTGTGTACTGGCACGATCCAAATGATATTCCAACTTTATCTGCTATCTCTCGCACAGTCAATCGACGATTTTGGAGCACCAATTCTTTCACTTTCTCAATGTGAGCATCATCCGTTGATGTCGATGGTCTTCCAGAGCGTGGGTCGTCTTCAACGGATTCTCGTCCTTCTTGAAACTTCTTAAACCACTCAAACGTACTTGTTTTCGATAAACAATCATCGCCATAAGCTTCTTGCAACATTTTGAATGCGTTTGTGAACGAAATTTCGTTCGCGACACAAAATTTCAAACAAATTCTTTGCTCCATATTTTTCGACATCGTAAAAATCGCCGTGCATAACAACTGACATAAACAACTGCCACTTTCAAACGGCTCGAAGGAACGCCATGATTTCTTCACCAAATGTGGAGGACATGTGTACCAACTTAAGAAAGCAAGCGGATTTGATTTACAGTTTACCCGCGATTTTTAAAGAATAAAGTTCGGATATTTTTTGATCACAGTAATATATCGGAACACAGAAATCCGGATTATTTGAACGGACGACCGGGGTCGCGAATCAATTTCGGCCCTCACGGCGACGTGCGGCCGCCTAAGCGACACTTCTCTTCGCGAAGAGCCTCTCCCATGGAGTCCGATAATTCCTCCGCGGACCGTTCCTCCCCGTTACGGGATGTCGATATTTTCAACCGGCCGGAAAAAATGGCTCGATACTGGCACAGTGGAGCGCCGGACGTACCGTAACCGTAAATTCCCGTAAGGCGCCGTGCGCGGTGCGGCGCGGCGCGGCGCATCCGGGTGAACGCGTATGAATTGCGATGTATCACTCGGCATGTAATATTGAAGAGACTCAAACATCACGAACACGTGCGAAGTGTACGGTAAACCCAGCCGGTGCGCGCAGGATGCGTAAACGTGGTGTGCGCGTTCGTATAATTCGGCAATCTAAATCCGATCGCATCCGCGAATTTTCGTGTCTAACTGGATACGCACCGAGCGGACTAGCAACGAGCGACTGTTGCCCAACATTCGCACTCGTGTCTGGCTCGTGTCATCCGTTTCCTCTCATTTCGCAAAGTCTAGAAGAAATGAACGAACGACGAGCGCGAACGCGCGACGAACATCCGCGCGCGTCGTGTTCAGTCGTCGGTTGTTCATTCGCTCAATGTGTAGTTTTCACATGTACGTACACGTACGCGGTCATTTCCATATGCATGAACGAGTCCGCTGATGCTGACGCGTCGCGTCGGCTTGCGTTCTTATCGCATTGCTAATAATTTCAAGTCGGCTCGAGCAAACGGAGGGCAGATGTGCATCGCGCGCGCCTTTGACGGCGGCCGACGTCGCTCTTGCATCGGCTTATGTGAGAATCCGTGAAGAATTTTGCAATTAAATAAGGCATGCCCCCTCGCGCACGCTTCTCGCGATGGTTCTCGACGATGTACACGCGCACACATACACACGTGCCCGCGCGGGGCATTAATGTCCTCGTGAAACGTCCATTTCCAGGAGCCGCGAACACGCGAGCCCGGCATGCGAATCGATGTTAACCCGAGCGTTTTCTCCGTTCGAACGACGCGCTTTTTGATATCCCGACTTCCTCAACTGGCTTCCCTCCCTCGGCGGTGAACAATCATCAACAAATCATGCGCGCGCGTCTTGTGCGTTTCAACATTGTTGTTTCGTACATGATCGCTGGCAAGAAGGATCGCGGAATTCTATTTGGCTCGTAGAACTTTCTTCTCAAAGCGCATATAAGCAAAGCTCCGCGATAGCCAAGAGAAAAAATTCTCTCTCACTGAACGCGAATGCATCGCGAGAATGGTAAAAAATGAGGAAAAATAGGTAGAAAATGAATGCTCCAACGCGTTGCGAAAATCAGCGGAAAGGACAATTGTCGAGAGCTTTCTGCTACTGACTGTACATTCGACAAACCGATTTTGTCACCGGTGAACGCGTTGCGCCGCGCTGCCTCAAAGACACCTCAGACGCAAATGAACACCGACCGCTATCGATTACGTAATCGCTCCGGCAATTTAATGGCCTTAATGACCGTCCGCTTATTCGTTACAGGAACGACCAAGATTCGCGAGCGAGAGGAAGAGAGAGAGAGAGAGAGAGAGAGAGAGAGAGAGAGGCGCAAAATGTCGTGGAAATTATCACGATCATTCTCTGAATCTGGAATAAAAGCGCGAAAGATCGCGCGTCTCACGGACTTCATTTCGCCTTTGTACGAATCGCGGCTTTCATTTCTTATAATTGCGGTAAGCGTGAGCTTCTTAAATGCGCGGAAAATTGTCTGCAAGGCCATCGGGCTGTCGCGCTGTCGTTAAAAGCTCTCTTGCGAAGGTGCAATCGCACAAGGTGATTTCGTCACGCGACCGGGCCGTTCCACCCATGAGGATCATCCTTCATCCATTCAACGGAGGGAGACACGGGAGACGGGAGATATAATCGAAAAATGAAACATGATTTTCCCATGTGAATTATTCGATCGCGATATAAAGTAGCTCTCCCGCTCTAATGGAGAAGGGAAGCGCTGCGCAGCGACGCGTATAACGACATCCTCTTCTGATAATGGTCGAGCCACGAATTACCAGAGGGACAGAGAGAGAGAGAGAGAGAGAGAGAGAGAGAGAGAGAGAGAGAGAGAGAGAGAGAGAAAGAGAGAAAGAGAGAGAGGGAGAGCTTCCAGCTGAAATCGCGCGGATTATGAAGTGTCCGGAACTTCGAGTCGCGTCAATTGTGCCGCTGATATCGAATATTCCCGATATATTCGCAGGCTGCTCTTTATCGCATCGCTTATCAGAAATTTTCAGTCCTAAATCTGAATTAACTACCTCGCGTGAAAGGTTTCGATATTAAAGCACATGTACGACCTCGGTCCTCTCTCTCTCTCTCTCTCTCTCTCTCTCTCTCTCTCTCTCTCTCTCTCTCTCTCTCTCTCTCTCTCGCTCTCTCTCTCTCTCTCATTTTCGCCGGTTAGAACCGCGGGTTTATGGATATTCTCGCGTGTTATTGTCGCGCGCGATATTCTCGTTAACGTGCGTGCCCACGACGCGATGAGTTTCATATAATCATAAATACTATCCGCGAGCGAGCAAGCGCCGAGCTGATGATAGATGGCTGCCATCGTCGGGCGCTCGAGTGCGCTCTAAAATAAACGGCGCACCGTAAACCGTGCCGCGGTCGCCGATCGTCGCACACGAGAGAGACAGAGACAGAGACAGAGACAGAGACAGAGAGAGAGAGAGAGAGAGAGAGAGAGAGCGCACAGCTCGTCAATCAGAGACTCGAAGACTGAAACTCTCCGCAATTAACCACAGACGACCCGTGGTGATCCGCGAGTACACCACCCCGTCCTTCCTCCGCCTCCTCCTCCTCCTCCTCCTCCTCTTGCTCGTCCTTCGGCAGCAGGGTAGTGATTAAGAGATTCGCAATTCTCCGGTTTCGTTTAATTACACAGCGAATAAAATCGATTCCGATTCCGATTCCGCGTCAAATCAAAGGGCACCGGCGTAAAACTGCGTAACAAGTTGAATTGAATTGATTTGGCGTAGATTAACGAAACGCGGGCGTGAAGCAGACTGCAAAAGCGAATTAAATTACAGCTACTCTCGATAGAGGAGGCGGAATGGCTACCCCCCCTCTCCCGTATTGCACATTATAATGCACTCGCGTCGCAAGTTATGCTTATGAGTCGCAATTGAGGCGCTCCGGGCGCACCGTATGAAAATTAAATCGATGCGAGATAACCGCGCTCGCGAGTGGTCGGCCGAGGGCTGGCAGGCGAGGAAAAAGGATCGCCTTATTAATTCACGTACAGTCGGCTCAAAAAAGGACACACCGTTGAAAAAAGAGATCGCTTGTCGTTCCAATTGCCACGACACGTTGTTGCTCTAAATTGATAAGGGTTGAAGCCCGAGATCTCTCTCTCTCTCTCTCTCTCTCTCTGTCGCTTGCTAATTTTTTTTAATTCGCTGCACTCGCCTCGGTGCATACACACACACACACATACGCGCACGTGCACCGCACAGTAAGCACGGGGTGAAGGATTTAATTTTGCCGGATGAGGAACGCGAATTAGCCGGAGGTCGTTGCGAGACGCAGGACTTCGCGTACGTGGTGCTTGTTCGCCGCACAACGTACGTGATATCAAGCCGCGCTGAATTGGCCGGAATGACGGATATATAGCGTATGCGCGTCACGTGTATATACAACCGCCACCAGATATTAATGCAATTAGCCGCGATATCGCCCAGCCACGCAGCCTTTAGCGTCTACGTTGAATCAGATTTTTAACTTATACGCCTTCTTAACGATTCGCGCGCGCGCGCGCGCGCGTTATATCAGCATGAATTCGCAACCTTACGACCTAGAACCAGATTTTACCATACTTTCAGACAGTTTTTGTTTCTCGCGTACAACACTCGGCCCGCGACGACGACGAAGACAACGACGGCGACGCTTTTCGCGGCGCAGCGTACTCGTGACGCGCGACGATCGAAAGGAATCATTTAATAGCGCAAAAACGAAAGGATCGGGTAACGCGAGACTCGAGAACACGGGATCGGCAAACCGATCTGGAAATATCGAGCGAGTCGGCGTGCTTTGTTACGCTCGACGGTGATTTCGCGTTCGCTCCGGTATCGCAATTCGGCCTGCTTTGATACAGCGCGTGGCGGAGAAAATGTTCCCCGATCCGCCTGTCGAGATAGAGCCCGTTGCGGGACATACACGGAATGTATATGTTCCGGGAAACTATCAGCGGCGCGAAAGTTACCGCGAGCTGCGCCGATAGGAAAATCGCGAGTTCCGCGCTGATACGCGCCGGCCGCGTGCTGACGCGCGTCTGTAACAAGCGTCTCCGTGAAAACGTGTCGCGTAAAATTGCATGTTATGCGCGGGAAACATGCACGCGTCAGAAATGCCAAACGTGCAACGCTCGCGGCCCAATTCGCGCGGTGGGAGATAGGCGGTAAAGTAAAAACAAGAGAAAAAGGAGAGAGAGAAAGAAAGAGAGAGGGGAAAGCGCAAGACAACAAGAGCGGCTCGCGCGTGGCAGCGGCGGTCTATCTTGTTGGCCGTTATTGCTGGATATATCGAGGTACTTTGTAAAAAAAGAGAAAAAATAGCCGAAGAGGAAGAAGGGCGAAGGGGTACGATTGGTCAGGTGAGCACCGAGCCGGCGTCATCCCCGAGGCAACCAGTATGGAAACACACAGACGTGGAGCCGCGTCGCACAGTCACCCTCGTGAGGCGAAGAGAGGCCTTCTGGCACGTGCGAGTGAGTCTTCATTTTCCGCGTGTCCCGAAGCACGGGCTATTATCTCGAGAAACCGGCAACATTCGTGCCTGGAAAAGCCGACCGCCGAATCGGGGGACGGGGAGAGAGGGTGCGTTTTATTACGCTCGGTATTCCCTCTTTTTCCGCTTTTTACGCTGATAGGTGAGTACGTACGCCGGCTGATTAAAGTTTGCGACACTTGTCCCCGGTGAATCTTGTAACGTACCTTGTAGCCGATAAGAAAATAAATCTCTCTTGGGAACTGTTGGAAAAACTAATTCTCCTGCAGGATACGAAATGCGGTGCGGGAGTGGTCGAAGAAAAATGTTGTAAACTTTAATTAGCCGATTGTACCGCCTTGTCGATGGAAAAGAAAGGGCGCTTTATCTCGGTGAACTTCAAAACGTGTGCGGGGTACCAGATAAGAAAATTTATCTTCTGAGAATTTCTAAAGGATTAATCCCCCAGTTGGATTGCGTCGTAAAACTCGTCGAAAGAAAAGAAACGTAATCTTGCTTCCACTGACTTGCTTACACTGTGAGTTTCAAAACGGTTGCTGCACTTTCTTCGGATGCACTTTGGAAACCAGCTGATAATCCGATGAGAGAACTTGACACTTTCTGAAAAATTCCCAGAGGTTGACTTCTTTTATTGGACATCTGCCGCGATCCGAAGAAAACAAAATGCATCCAAAGATCAGTGTCCAATCCGTTTCGAAAATGCACGCAACGTGTAACTTTTGTTCCCCGCCGCGGTCGCGGCAGCGGCTGCAGCGATGCGCATTGTTGTAACAAGCAGCATATCGGTTCGCTCTGTTCGTAAATAATGACGAATAAATCACGCTAATACCTCGCGCAAGCGGCGCTCGAAAATCGGCTCGTTTATGCGCCGTGTGTATGCATATGTCCTATTATAAATTCCGCACTTTTGACACGTCGCGCGGCGCTTCTCTGCTACTGCGCACGCATTAATGCGGTCTGTTCGCTAGGCAATTTATTAAGGCGCACGACTCGATAAGCTCGTTGTCATCGATAATACGAAAATCCCCGGTAAAACCGACGTGCGGTGTGCGCTGGTCCATGCCATACATCCGTTGATTTCGCTCGAATATCCCGAAATGAAATCTGTTGCGCCGCTGAGAGAAAAATCGGCGGGTGTACGCAAGCGCTCGCGCGTTTCCCATGAAAAAATTTGTAAATAAAAAAAATATAAAAAAAACAAAGGGGAAATTTTCACGGTCGGATTATCCCTCGGCTTTTTTTCAGTCCGCTGTCATCTAACGAGTGAACTGGCTTTTTTCGGCAGTTGCAGTAATTAAATCGAGACGAAAAGAGAGATATATATATATATTAGATTATATATATTGACAATAGATATATATATATCGGCCGCCTACGTGCCAAACCGCGTCGCTGATCAACGACCGCTCGGAGCTTCTCCGCCCGTGTGAACTTCCAAGGACTAACCGAGAGACAGCCTCGGTCGTTCTTTCTCAGAATCTACCTCGCGCAAGTTCCTCGTACTCGCGAGCGTTTCTGGACGACAATTAGCGACTCGTCAACCCACGAGATGAATATTACCGCGAGACCGCGGTATCGCGTGGTAACGGCCGTCAGCTCGCCATTCGTCATGTACAACAGCAGCAGCGGCAGCTTCTACGGCTACTGTATCGATCTACTGGAGTCGATGAGCCGGATTTCCGGCTTCGACTACGATCTCGTAGAGTCCACAGATCAATTGTTCGGCCATGTAACAGAATCGGGCGAGTGGACCGGCATGATCGCGGATCTGCTGAACGACAGCGCGGACTTCGCCGTGGCAGCGCTTTGGATCACGCACCTTCGACGACAGGTACGTCGTTATCGCCAATGTAACGCTCATCAACATCGTGGAGCGACCGACGATTCCGTTCGATCGAGCGCGCGAACGCGACGGAGTTTCTTTGTTGCTCGCAATTTGAATTTCGACTTACCCCATGGAACCGACGGAGACCGGCAGTCTGACTTCGACGTGTCGGCGACTCACTCTGTCATTTCTCCTTCTTCTTCGTTTTCATTGCCCGCTCCTTCGTGAAATCCTTCGTGTCGCCGTCGCTCAGCAGCATCGCGTTTCTGAACTTCCTCGTTCGAATAGCTCGCCATCTGCATTGAAAAAAGACGGTTGCAGGGACCCATTGGGTCATCCAAAAAGTTCGCTTCGATTTTCGGCAGATGGCGCCAGGTGCTTGTACCGCGCGCTAATTTGATTTAACATTACAACCGAGTCGCACGATTTTCAATCTTGCGTGCATGTACGCAAGGTCGAGAATCGCAGAACGCCTAATAACCGAATATTAACGGCTGCTACTTAAGATTTCTCGTTAACGACTGTGATTTCCTAGCACCAGAAGTGAGAAGATGAAATTCGACGCAAAGATCGAACGGAATTTTGTGCTGATTCGACACTCAGCGTTTTCGTTTCTCCCCCTCCCCCCCCGCAACAGGTAGTAGACTATACCATACCGTTCTACAAGGACAACGGCTTCACGATCATGATGCGAAGGCGCGAACAGTTCAATGTGTTCCTCTGGTTCCTTACGATCCTCGACCTCCAGGTCTGGCTGCACTTCGCCATCACGTTCCTCGTCACGTCGATCTTGATACGGCTGTTTGAGCGTTTCTCGCCCTACAGCTACAGCAATATGGCTGAAAGTTACACCGACGAGCCGGATCAGCGGTTCGCAAGCTTACGGGAGTGCTTTTGGTTTTCCTTGACGGCGCTCACCCCCGAGGGGGCTAGTGCGATGCCCAAGAGCCTCTCCGGCAAAATGGCCGTTGCTGTCTGGTGGCTGCTCGTCTTCGTCATCGTGGCGGCCTACAACGCGAACCTTGCCGCGTATCGAACTCTGGATCGATTGGAGCGCCACATCGAGACGATCGACAATCTCAGGAGGCAATATCAGGTTGACTACTCGACCATTGTCGATTCGGCGACCTATAGGTACTTTGAAAGTCTGAAGGACAACGAGGAGCTTCTGTCCAGGTAAGCAAGACCATTGTTGATCCCTTTTTATCAAAGGACACGCGCGATAACTCGCGATAATGACGATCAGATCGATCTGCGCGAGCCGCGAATCAACAATAAGTTCGCGTTGACAATGAAGGGGGTAGAGGTTATGGAGTCCGGCAAATCGGCGTAAACACTGGCGAATATGTTTTCTCGAGTTTAAGAGGCGGCTGATCTCGGCTGAGGTCTTGACAAAATCGATATGTCCTGAGAGGAAAAGCAGAAAAGGAATAGTCGGGCGGGCGAGAGGGTGAGAGGAAGAGACGGCGGAAGGGAGGAGGACGCGTTGTTCGCCACTGTAGAATTTACAAACACAGCCGAGCCGATATTTTCCGCGGGTTTGAACAAAATCTGCCGACGGAGAATTACGAAGGTATCCCGATAACAGATGACAATGGCGATTGTTGAAAGCGGCACAATACAGCTGGCGCTCGATATTATTACAGTATCCTTTGATACATGTTACAGAGTAATACGCCACGAATATATTACCGAACTACACGGCTCGAGCGAACGAACGGCCGGAGGGACAGAGCGAGGGAGCAATCAAACAAACGGTTATTCGTTTGTGAAAATCAAAGAGGCTCGGCATTTTACGGCGTACGAATCTGATCCCCGCATCTGATTCCCGAGCCGAGCTGAAGAAGTAATAATAACGATGCGCACGTTAACGCTAAAACTGTCGAGACGATTCGCGCAATCTGTCTCTACCGAAGCGATTGAAATGTCAGATCTTTGCGCAAATACATTACACGAGTGTAGGAATATTTATTCGCTTCTTTCAGTGTCATTCAACGTCCATTAAAAGTGTAAAACGCACCGCTATATATAAAATCGAATGATTTTATAGGACATTACAAAGAGCAGTGACACACAGAGTTTGTTTTCTATCGCTGAACTGTCGAAACTTGAAAAAAAGCTAAAAATACAGACTTGATGAAAAACAAACCTAAGCCGCTTTGACAGTTCTAGCGTTAACCAATTCACCGGTATAACGAGATGTTCGACTGGTTGAGTTATTCCGCGATATGCGATTTAAATTGCCGTGAAATGGGATACAGAGGCGCAGACCGCTTTTCTGCTCTGACAAATTACCATGCGATATCCATCAAAGGCCTGCTCGAATTGCATTACGAGTCGACATCGTAACAATGCCGGCGAGTCGCGTAAAAAGCACTAATCGTTGCGTCAGCGAAATTAATTAATTATCCTGCGATCAAGCGAGTCGTGTACGTGCCCAATTACGAGCGCAATCTGGCGCCGATGTGTATCTCGGCGCTTCGTCGATTTCACGGCGAAGACTTCGCCGGGATATTCGCTAATATAATCCTGTGTTAGCTCTTTCATCGTTAAAGAAGATTACAGCCGTCCGACGTATTCGCGCGTCTTTGGGTGCGAGGGTGTGCAAAAGCGATTATAATGATTTGATGTAATTTATAAATGGCTTAAGAACAACGCCATATAAACGCGCAAACAGTGCTTTAAATGGTAATCTCTTGGATAGCTTTGAGATGCGGATTGCGACAGTGATCGTTTAATCCGTTAAACGATATCGTCTTTAAACGAAGTAAAAACGAATCATCGGGACGTGTTTCCAGCTTGGGATCTTGAGAATTTTTTCAGGAGAATTTTTTGCTGGGAAATGTTGGCCCAGCGCTTTGGGATCTTCTTTTGTTAACTGTTAAATGAATGTTTGCAGCCTGTGGCGACAAATGAGTCTGGACGAGAGCGTGTCGGATTGGGAGAGAAGCCAGCTCACCGTATGGGAGTATCCGGTCGATGATAAGTACACGAAGATTTACAACGCGATGAGAAAAACGGGCTTACTCGCCAATAAAGAAGAAGCCGTGAACAGCGTGCGACGGATTAATCGTACCCGCGAATTCGCCTACATCGGCGAGGCGACGCAGATCAGATACCTCGCGCTGACCAATTGCGATCTCAAGCAAGTGGGCGAGGAATTCGGCATGAGGCCGTTCGCGTTCGCCGTGAAAAAGGGCTCGCCGTTGAAGAGCAAGCTCGATGATTCGTATGTATCCTGAATTCGTGAGATTCTAATTTACTTCCAATCTGTCTCTGATTTATATCTCTCATGCGTAGAAAATCCAATCACACCGCGTAGCTCGCGTTTGAGATGAGCGCTTGGTGCGCTCAATACCTGTAATTGTATGTGGCGTACAAATGTCATTACGTCCATATCATTGTATCATTCACGCGCCCCGTGCTTTCTGCCGCATAGAATCACGCAGGTCGCGTTGCGGGGGATACCGTTGGAATTGGAGAAGAAATGGTGGGACGAGAATCCGGCGAGGGCGCAGTGTCCGACGAATGACGGAATTGACGCGGGATTCACGTTCAACGACACAAGAGCGATATTTCTGCTGATCCCCGTCGGGATCCTTCTGGCGAGCGTTACATTGTGTCTACAATACGGGTATACCATTCGAAAGAGACGCGACGAGAAAAAGCGACGAGCGTTTGTAAAAACGAGCGCGCGGCGAGAGTGCCGCGCAAAATAATGGGCTGCCGAGAGTAAACAATATATCGGGGCCGAGATTTCTCGCTCTCATGGGCGACGCGACGCTTTCGATTCAGCGTCGTTTTGCCAGCCAGCCAGCGAGTGAGCGAGAAAACTAATTCGAGTTCCCGAGCTCGTGAATTACAGTGTTGACACCGAAGCATACAAGCAATGTTTGACACCGATTTCACCGTTCTAACCGATCTCTTGTTAGAGATTCCGATTTTAAATAACGAAAATAATGATGTAATGATCTAGCATTTGATTGCGCGATCACATGCAATATCCGCGCCGTGTATTCCTGATACTTTTAGCCGGCTTGACAAAGTCAGATATTTTATTTATTACAAGACTCCGAGAATCGATTGTGCTCAAGTCGCACGTTTTGAGATTCTCAATTCCGTTCTCGTTCTTTAGCCACGAATGGCAGTCCGCGCCCGCGTATATCAAGGACATGCCGTGATTTTTTACTTGCTATCGCGCAATTGTGATTTACTGGACCGCGGAATATAGTTTTCGACTATTTCTGTCGAGCGGCCGATTTGCATATGGAGACGCTGATAACCGCTTTCGGTTGATGTGAGCTCGCGTGACGTTGTTTAAAAAAAAAAAAAAAAACTACAGCCGATATCTCGGGTAGTAACTTTCTGTCGTGATTATGTCACCCAAATCAAGCGTTATCGAGATGCTCGAGTAGCGCGCCGCTATGTTCTCCGGCGAATTTCGTCCACTCTGGAAGAAATTCGTCGGATCTGGCGATGGGTTGTCAGTGATCTCGTAATCACACGTGCGCGAAGTAGACAATGCAGTGCGTGTTAATAAATGAAATAGAGGAGGAAAAGAAAGAAGAAAAAACGAGAAAGAAAGGCCGTGTCAGTAAGTCGGAGTCGGTTCATGACAAAATAATCCTGCTTATGAATGTGCATAAACTGAATATCTGAGCGAAATGCACTCTAACGGATTATACATCTCCGTCACGACGACAGTTATATTAGCGGAAATGGAGTGCGGTGTCGTGTAACACTCGCGTCTCGTCCCGTCTCGATTTAGTCCTAAGCAAACAAAGAGGCCGAGCTTCCGGAACGAGAAGCGCTCTTGGCGCCACAAAATCTCCGCGTCTATGTAATCTCCGCGCGTATGTAAACCTTGCCGATTGAAAAACACGTCGACTCGACAGAATCAAAATAACAATCGCCGAATGGTCAAACTTGCGAGAGTCTGCTAGTCGAGATCTCGTCTGAAGGTCGCTTTTTTTACCGACGACAATTTCCCATGAAATTTTGAGCTGTCACGCTCCACGTGCTTTTCTTTCCTTTCGATCTGTACTCTTTTATTAGATCTGTAATCTTTTATCAGATGTCCCCGTGATGTCACGATCTGAAGAAGCATGTGTGTGTGTCGTGTGCGTATCGCACAGGAAACAATTATGTTTTTCCACCATTCGAGATATGCTCAGTAATAGAACCCTTCATGAAAGTTGCGCTGATTTCAGAAAAATACCGCGTCAATGTAACAGAAATAATCGATTGCACTGACCACAGCATGCAAGCTATGCGTAAATAGAGATCCTCGAACATTCGACGGCCCAGTGCGCACTCCACACACGGATACACACACACACACACACACACATAGAGGGAGAGAGAGAGAGAGAGAGAGAGAGAGAGAGAGAGAGAGAGAGAGAGAGAGAAAGTCACTCTTTCAAAGTATGCGAAATCGCTTCCAACCAGTTTGACTCGTGAGAATTCAATTTCTCGGCCCAATTCAACGATATTTATCTCGTCTCTGCAGGGCTTCGCGCGAACCGCAAATGAACGGCTCTGCGTTCGAGAACACAAGCAATTTACAACACACGTGAAATCCCCGCCTGCGATTTTTTACTCACCAGAGAATAATCATATTATTCTCTCGTCCATACACACGGTTGTAAAAAAATTCGGAGAGATTTTTTCCAGGGAAGTTAGGAGCGCTACAAGTTGTCATAATTGCGAGTTATTGCCGATTAGTTTGTCCACTAGCCGGTTATGACAGGAGCCAAAGTGACAATAAACATTGCTTCTTTATTATACGCTCTTATCTCATAGATGATAGTGTAATAAATATGTTCACTCTTTTTAATTCTTTATTGCACCGATGATGTTAAATATCTCATATATTGTCACTTCAACTCTTGTCAGCTCAAGAGAATAATTCGCATTTGATACGTTCTTAACTTCATCGGGAAAAAAAATGTCCATTTCTAACAACACTGATTAAAGCTTAATCTGCGTGCAAATGCTAATCAGACGAAGATTTAAACTCGGGCTAAGGTTTCAACCTACGTCAGTAGAAGCAGGTATAAAATGTTTCTGTAACCGAGTGTAGCGACAGTACAGAGCGACCTGTTTCCTTTTTCCCCACTTTATTTTTTTTATTTCTTTACGCATGCGCTACGTACGATTTTATTTCGCCTCGGAAATCTCGGTGTATATCTTTCTCGCGGTTATCGAAGTGCATAGAGATATTAAAAGCGTCGCCTCGGGCAAAATTCGCGGACGAAAATGGAATACGTTCGTCGACGTGGCGGAAGTTACGAGATCCCGGCGACGATTTCGCCGGTATTACTTCCACCGCGGTCATTATTACATCGCCTACGCGTTCTCGAACGTACCCCGGCGCGGTATACGCGAAAGTTCGTCCATCCGTCCGTCCGTCCGTCCGTCCGTCAGTCGCTCGGCCGCGTGTACATCGAGTCCTCCGAAAAGGAGGAGAGATGACACGCGTACCGGGTGTACGACGATTGATTAGGGTCATCCCCGCGGCAACCAATGGACAAACACAAATAAAACCGGCGGACACCCTGGAGCGAACCCGCGGAGCGTCCTCAGTAGACAGCTGACCGGTTTCTACGCGTAATATCCGCTTTGAGCTTTCGACGTGCAGAAGACGGCAACGAATCTCGAAAGACAGAAAGAGAGTGAAAGAGCGCGCGAGAGAGAGAGAGAGTGAAGGAGAAAAGGAGAGACCGAATCAGTTCGGGAGGGAAAAGCCGGCAGTCCGATGCCATAACGGCGACTACGTTTCCACCCTCGAGCCGTAACTGGACCGCGAAGGCCGCATTTCCACCCCGGCGTCCTACTTCTCTTGCACGCGCCGCTCGTTCGCTCGCTTGTTCACTCTCCAAGTCCGAAGCAACGATACCCAGCCCGATATAAACGCGCAATTACACCTAATCGCGCTGGAAATACTCCGGAAATACTCTTCCCGCAGGAAGCGACGAATTCTCACCTCACGCGGTGTCGCTTAGCGACGACGAGGAACGCTGATGAGTGATATCGCGCGGAGCCACTTGTAGCTGCGACTGTTGTTAGCCTTATTTAGCGTACCCTTGCAAGTCAAATTACTTTCGACGTTCTCCCCGTCGCTGGGCCAGCCTCCTCGCGTGTTCGTTTTCGATTCCGACGCATCAGCGATCATGGCATTCGGCGGTCGCGGTGTCGCCGGGATTTGTATTCTGCACGTTCTGTCAGCGACTTTTACGGCCCACGGGGCGGAGGAGGGCTTGTCGAGCGACAAGCAGAAACCGACGCAGTCGCGACCGGTGAATCTCTGTAGGTTTCACTTACTCGTCGGAATGGATGAATGGGGAGGGGGTGTGATGGCGAAGCCTCGCGCGGTCGTAAACATATTTCACGATTGATCACGCCGTAATGTATCGTTATCGACTGACGCGTTCGTTATCGCGTAAAGGGAGATCTCGCGATCTCCTTGGGACGGAGGTCGCGGTGAAGCCTCCGCCTGCTCGAGCGTTCAATTTTCCGACGAAATGTTCCAATCCGAAGATGTATTGTACTCAGCGCGCGCGTAATTGTCTGTTGCAGCGAGGCGTAGCTTTCTTCCTAGACTAGAGCGATTTTTTCGCGGCGTTTCAAGGCACCGTAGGATGTTATTACTTAAGATTAATCGTCCGACTCGACTTCACCTGATTTTTCTTTTTGCATGCCGCGTCGACGATACCTTTCTCCTCTGCGATTAGTTATAATTAATGACATGAAGAACGAGATCGCCAACGTGAGTGTGACCAACGCTCTGAAGACTCTGCGGGAAAAGTTTCCGGGTTACTTGGGCCAGATACGGACGGTGCAGATGAACGAGACCGATGTCGGCGAGATCATCAACGACATGTGTCAAGCTTGGAGCTCGGCCATCAGCCAGGGCGGCTCTACTGTTCCCGACTTGGTCTTGGATATGTCGATGTCCGGCATGAACGCTGAGATCTCTAGCTCGATCACCGCGGCTCTCGGACTGCCAACCTTGTCTGCTCAGTATGGGCAAGAGGACGACATTCAGTACTGGAGGAACCTGGACACCGACCAGAGAAACTATTTGATCCAGGTACTGTGATTGTTCATGCAAACATGAAAGATCTTCTGATGAAGGATGCGTTCGTTTTTCTTTTATCAAGCTTATAATATTAATATATATTTCACTATGTTATTAAAAATTGTAACTTATACTTTTGCTACATTCTCGTGTAACTTTGGAATTTAAATAGGCATCCAGCCTAACAGAAAATCCAGCAAGTTGTTAAAAAGAAGTGAAAATTCGCGCGGAAAGAACTCGTGAGGTTTCTTCTTGATCGATGATCAATTCAGTCGCAGTTTTCCAAACATCTCTTAGAAGATCTCTTGTCACTCCATGACTGTTTCAGGTGATGCCGCCGGCCGACCTGGTGCCAGAGGCGATCCGGCAGCTGGCGATCCTCCTGAACATCACCAACGCCGCCATCCTGTTCGACAAGAACTTTGTGATGAATCACAAATACAAGAGCCTGCTGCTGAACGTACCCACGAGACATGTCATTAACGAAATGGAAACCACGACGGACGGGGTGCGGCTGCAACTGTCGGGGCTGCGGGACCTCGATGTGGTGAATTATTTTCTGCTGGGCACCAGCGACTCCGTCAACATTGTGTTGGACAGCGGAGAGTCGTTGAGCTTCACCGGCAACAAGTACGGCTGGTTCGTCCTCACTTTGGACGATGAGATGTGGCCGAGCTGTTTGTGCGAGAACATCACGGTACTGTTCATGAAGCCGCAGCCGCCGGCAGCCGCGGACGACAAGAATCAGGCGGAATTCGCGGCGAGGGCGGGTCTTCCGAAGCCGCTCATCACCTCCGGCTTTTACTACGACCTCACTCTGCTGGGCGTCAGGGCGATGAAGTTGGCCCTGGACGACGGTGAGTGGCCGCTGGAGCCGCGTCATATCGATTGCGACAACTACAACGGCACGAACCGACCCACGAGAGGATTGGACCTGTTCGCCAAGCTCACGGCGATCTCGAAGGACATGACACCGACGTACGCCGGCATCAATTGGGGTACGAAAAACGGCGAGCACTACGCGTCATTCACCATGGACATGTACATGGTGAACATCGAGCGCGAGAAGATCACGTTGAAGGTGGAGAGCGGGGTCTGGCAGTCGGGCATCGAGTCGACCTTGCAGGCAAGTCGAAATGCTACAGAGTGTGCAGAGTTTCAATGTCCAAGCACAGCATCAGTTAGACGCAGACCATATTCCCGTGTACTTGAGGACATGCATTCTCGTATCCTTCGTGGTTTGCTCGTTATCTCAACGCGGCATATCTTCCGGACGCTCCGAATTTTATTTTACAATCTTGCAATGATAACTTTCTCCCGCAACCAGAGTCAAAAACCAGAGTCAAAAAAAGATGCCTCGCGCGGCCTTGTCGATTTTTCTTTCAATTCTCAAGTGGTATATCCGGGGATTATTGATCATACCTGACGGTCGTGGCTGACCGAGCGGCACTTATGCGATCGATTGCTCATATTTTCTTCTCTCTTTTTTTTTTTCGTCTATATCGTACGTACCGGCCTTCTTTATGAATAGATTCTGAAATATAATTCAGAAAGGCAAAGAAGTGGATCGATCGTCGCCGTTATATTGAATTGAAATCACGTTGAGATCTCGTCGGGGCGCTTATTTGCGCGTTCATTAAATATTTGTTCGCTCACGAAGGACGTTATATCGCGGTGGCATAATAACGAAGACTTTGCGAATGATGAAAAGTGCAGTGGCTGAAAGTTAATTTAAAACTAAATTTGCATGGCCCGTGCATTTGATGCATTCCGCCCAAAGAATTTGCGTCTTAATGAAAGAACGCAAATGTGCATAAAAGGGAGGGGGATTGTGATACAAAACAATTGTCATTATCACACAGATTATGAAATAAGGCGAAAGAAACAACAGTAGTAATTTTAGATATAAATCCCACTTTTGTCTCCTTTTATCTCTTCTTAGCTATTTCCGCTCTATTTTCGTTTGTGCTTAGTCATTATCTTTGTCCATCCTGATAATTATCCTTATCATAATTATTGCCACAATCTTCCCCATTCCCTTCATGATTCTTCTCTATATCCTCTTTCCTCCCTTCATTATTCTCATTGACATTTTATCATTGACATTTTTACCATCAATCTCGTTATTTTTGTTATAACTACATCATCTTCGTCCTCGTCCCCATTTTTATTCTCATCATCATCATCAGTCTCCTCTTCATCTTTATCTCTTTTTATCTGTTCATCTTCATTTTGTTTATTGCCTTCTTCATTCTTCCTGGTCTGTTGTATCAGTTGTATAGTTTTTATCATTATCTTCTTGCTGTTGCTCCCCTACAACATCATCTTCGATTTCCCGTTGACAACATTGAATTTGTTCATATTTTCACCTTTCAGTTCCTTTCTACTTCCGTTATGAATTGTATATTCATCATTCTGTTCTATTTCTTGTGTATTGGAAGTTCTGCTCTCTTCCTCGTTATTTATTGCTATTGTATTCTGCTTGTCAGTAAATTATTTATTTTTTATTTGATACTGAGCAGCGATCGTTTCCTCTCCTTCAATAACTGCTTCTTCTTCTTCTTCGTCCTTGTTTATGACAGAATCTTCGCCTCTAAACGGAGTACTGTCATAACAATCGTCATCGAAGATAAGTTTACGCCTAACCGCAAATCGTACAGGGTCCGTTTGGACGCTCTTGTCGCACTGGCGTACCCTGAATTTTGGAGTCAGATTGGAAGATAACATTGACACGATAGGGCTGGCCGTATTGTTCTCGCGATACTCCATGTATGGGCTTTCTCCGCCAGGAAGGTACTACACGTTACCTGATTCAGATCTGCGGTAGGCAATTTGTTCTACAGCGCAGTATTAACGGGGAACATTGTTCCATCTGCCCAGTAACCATCGTCCTTTATCGAACGAAAATGTGTATGAGCGAAAGTCAATATAAATCCTCGTCTCTGGTTCTGAAAGGTTACTTAACTTCAGAATCGAAGGGGATTCTATGGTGGCGATTTCCATGAGGAAGTTTGCAGAATACCACCGAAATATCGGTTGCCATTTTCGAAAACACAAAAGAAGTAGGAGTACCTTTACAGCCCTGCTACTTTTCTTATATGTTTCGTAAAACCTGTGTTCCAGATAGCTTCAACATCCTCGTTGAATTTTGCCTGTTGTTGTAACTGCCCAGCTGTAGTCGTTCAATTTTTAACCGCGATTGATCCTTCTCTCTTTGTCATTCCATTATCGACAAGCCTGTAGGCTATAATCTAGTTGTTCGGAAATTGAATGTTACTCACGATGCACGCATCACTATTTTTCTTCGCATGCTTCACTTTTATTGTCAAGCCGGCGTCAAGTAATCGTTTTCATCAGCGAGTCATTAAGTGCTACGAAGGGAAATACAATAATTCCTCGGACTCGTGCTCCTCTTTCGTTATCTCCGCTCGCATCACCCTCGCTCACCCACTCTTTCTAACAATGCTCGCTAATCTGTCCTGGAAAAAGTTCAAGGTGGCGATGGATGGTCGCATATACTTTTGTTTGCTCACTATGTCGCACGAGAGTGTCACGAGAGAGCGGCGCTCTCGGCCACTTGCGCATTTAGTTTCGCTCGCTTCTTGTACCCTTCCGCACCTGCAACGACGGCTCGATAGTCCGCCTTCTACTCTACGTGAGCATCAATTGTTATCGTCAATTAACCACCATTCACCGCCGTTCACCACCCACGAGAGCGAATTTGCATTACGCGAAGGTCACCAACGAAGAGGTCATGAACAACACCGCGGTGACGAGCTACCGAGTGGTCAGCGTGCAACACCCACCCTTCGTCATGTACGACAACAAGACCAATAAGTGGTACGGCTTCTGCATCGACCTGCTGAACGCGATCCGCGAGACCGTGCCGTTTGAGTACGAGATACGCGAGGTTGAGGACCAGAATTACGGGACGCTCAGTGAGAATGGCAGCTGGAACGGCATGATCCGCGAGCTGATAGAGAAGCGCTCCGACATCGCCCTCGGCTCGCTCTGGGTCATGGCGGAGCGGGAGAAGGTCGTGGATTTCACTGTGCCGTACTACGACCTGGTCGGCCTGACGATCATGATGCTGAAGACGAAGACGTCGACGTCGCTCTTCAAGTTCCTCACCGTGCTGGAGAACGAGGTCTGGCTGTGCATATTGGCGGCGTACTTCTTCACCAGCTTCCTCATGTGGATGTTCGACCGTTGGTCGCCGTACAGCTACCAGAACAACCGCGAGAAGTACAAGGACGACGAGGAGAAGAGGGAGTTCAACTTGCGTGAGTGCTTCTGGTTCTGCATGACCTCGCTGACGCCGCAGGGCGGCGGCGAAGCGCCGAAGAATCTGTCGGGAAGATTGGTGGCGGCCACGTGGTGGCTCTTCGGCTTCATCATCATCGCGTCTTACACGGCCAACTTGGCCGCGTTCCTCACCGTGTCCAGACTGGAGATACCGATTGAGACTCTGGAGGATCTCAGCAAGCAATACAAGATACAGTACGCTCCTACGCTCAATTCGCCGGCGTTCACCTATTTCCGGAGGATGGCGGACATCGAGGCGCGATTTTACGAGTGAGTCATTACAATTTCAAGTAGAGTGCTCTAATATATCGGAGTGGCGCCTTCCGGGAGACAGATCGATGCTGATGGGATTGTTATCCTTATCTGTATCTGTAACTATCTGATTTAAACTAGTAAAAATGTACGTGGCTGACAAAGATAGATAGTCGAAATTTCTCTGCCTATTTATCTCCGTCAAGGAGACGCTTCAATATATCATAGAGCCGATTTGAACATCTTGACGCAATGTAAAAGAGATTTCTTCATGAATCGGACGTACGCTTTATCACATGCAGAATTTGGAAAGACATGAGCCTGAACGATAGCCTGTCCGACGTGGAGAGAGCGAAATTGGCCGTGTGGGATTATCCGGTTAGCGATAAGTACACAAAGATGTTCCAAGCGATGAAGGAGGCCGGATTTCCGGCCGATATGAATGAGGCGCTCAAGCGAATTCGACGTCAAGGCTCGTACGCGAACAACGAGTTCGCCTATATTGGCGATGCGTCAACCATCAAGTACCTCGCCATGACGAATTGCGATCTGGCCCAAGTGGGGGAGGAATTTTCGAGGAAGCCGTACGCTATCGCCGTTCAGCAGGGCTCGCCGCTCAAAGATCAATTTAACAACGCGTATGTATATAATGAAAACGCTCGTGTAGTCTCGCAAGCTTGCGCAAGATTGATGTTCCCTCACACGATAAAATAGATCAGATTATCATTAAAAACTGTTCTTCGCAGGATTCTCATACTATTGAACAAGAGGAGACTGGAGAAGTTGAAGGACAAGTGGTGGAAGTACAATCCCGCGAGGAAGAACTGCGACTTGGAGAACGATCAGAGCGACGGTATCAGTATTCATAACATCGGCGGTGTGTTCCTCGTGATCTTCGTGGGCATCGTCTTCGCCTGCCTCACGTTGGCAATCGAATACTGGTATTACCGACATCGAGCGAAAGTCAGTGAATTGCACAAAGACGCCTCGCCCAGGACGAAAATCATGAAGACAATAAAGCCGATCAGGCTCAATCTGCAGCCTGCCCCGACGCACGGTGTGCAACCTTCACAGTTTAGATCGCGATTCTAGAACATTTGGACGTTCGAGGACTTTGCTTGTGGAAACACGGAGAAAGAAATTGTAGAAATCATCGCACAAAGAAATTAAATCTTTTCAGATATACCGGTTTTCTTCTTTTACTGATTTCTTTTCTCTTTGATTTTTGTTTTAAACGTGTCAGCTAACGCGACGATGAGAAGCGAACATTGTGCGGAGCATCGTGAAGTTTCGATAAATCAAACCCAAAATGTTTTTTTATACCGAGAGTCACGCATCGTACATATGTTTTTACAATTGGGTTACTTTACTATGAAAAATGTAAATGTTTCACGCAAACAGGAGAGAAGTAATATGAAAAACATCAAGTACAAGGAGGGAGGTATTGGAAAGATACAATTTACACATGTACAATCTTCACATTTGCAGTGCCTTTATTGGATTTTTTTCGTACAATCCGCACAATCCACCAGACACGTTTCCGACGCATTATTCTCCAAAAGAATAGCCATTCGTAAATGGCATCTTTCGACGCATTAACATTTTCTTTTTTATTTATTTTTTTTTTTAGTTTTGAACGTACGCTTGGCATCTGCAACCTAGTAACACTTCTCGCATACCCGCACACGGGGTAAGCATGTCTTCAAATTACATGTTTTTTTTTCTTTTATACATACGTTCTCAATTATCCTGTCTCGGGGGAGTACAGGAAAAGCATCGGATACAGGGAGATTTGGAGTATTGGGAGAGGGGAAGAGGATAGTCAAGGTGATTATTTATAAATAAATATATATATATATATATGTATATATATATATATATATACACATTCATAAATAATCTTCTAGGGAGTTAAATTATAATTAGAAAAATACAATTAAGATAATCCATTATTAATTAAGAAAAACGACAAGAAAAGAAAAACAGCGCACGAATGAAATATCAGAGTTGCAATCCGTACAGCATTCCAAATAAGTACTCAAAACTGTCTGTAATTCCTAACTTTCGCGCGTTCGTTTTTCTTATTTAATTTCGACCCGCAAAACGTCCAATACTGTAGGCGGCACGTCGGACGAGAAACGAAATTGCTCCCTACGATTTTCTCTACAAAAATCAGCGCACTAAGTTTTGTCAGAAATCACATAAAAGTAATCAACAATCTACAACTGAAATCACGTGGGCTACGTTCTTCAACGTTTTCTCAACGTGAAACGCTGTATAAGGTGTACACTTCTTTTTTTTCCTTTTTTTTCGATATTTCGTTTCTTTCCTCCTTACTCATCAAAGGATTAATGTTCATTTATCTAAATGAATATTGAATAGTCACGCGTCTCGCTTTACTTCGATATCGCGTGTTGCTTATTACGAGTGACGATGGGGTTTATTCGTGTCTTCTTGGTTACATGCATAACAAATTCCACATGCCAAGAGGACCCCCACTCACGCTCCTATCGTTTGTATCTTCGTTTTGCAATAAAAACAAGTATAGCTAAACTTCAAATCTTCAGTCACGTAGTTTATTTCCCAGCTTACATTATTCGTTCCGGCATCGTCACAAATATGTCAGTGCCAATCTTCTTCAAAATCTTTTCCCTCACCTTGTTCATACAGTTTTTCCTATCGGAATAAAAATACGTACACTAAGTGGAGAGAATCACCAAAGGCGCAAAATTAAATTTCTTGTACAGTCTATAAGACGTGACATTGCAATTTCCACGCGAGTAACATTTAAAATGTACATGCACTTTAAAATGTACATAACTTTACAATATTTCTTACCATTCTCTATCATCCGCCAGATTAATCTTGACTGCTGCCCGGTTCATTCTATCCAAAATATACTTTCGTCTTTCTTCTTCATTACAAAACACAACTTTAGTGTCATCATCACTTTCCTCCTCATCCTCGTCCTCATACTCGTCTTCTTGTTCTTTTCCGTTCCCTTCATGACGTTTTTCTTCATTCTCTTTTTTCTCTTCCTCATTCTCGTTCTCATTATCATTATCATCATCATCATCATCATCGTCGTCGTCATCATCATCATCATCATCATTCTCATCATCATCATCCTCATTATCATTCTCATCGCCATCATCCTCATTATCATTGTCGTAATTATCGTCATCATCTTCATTTCGATCATCATCTTCGTCCTCATCTTCATTTTCATTCTCATCTTCGTCTTCATCGGCCTCCTCTTTATCTTCATCTCTTTTTACCTGTTCATTTTCATTTTGTTTATTGCCTTTCTCATTATCCTGGTCTATTGTTACAGTTGTGTAGTTTGTATCATTATTCTCCTCCTGCCCCTGCTCCCCTTCCACTTCATCCTCGTCCTCCTCACAATCACAACCATCCCCATTTTCATCAAGATCTTCAGTTTCGCCTATTTTCCTATTTTCACCTTCCAGTTCTTTTCTATTTCCGTTATAAGCTGTATATTCATCGTTCCGTTCTATTTCTTGTGTATTGGAAGTTTTGCTCTCTTCCTCGTTATTTATTGCTATTGTGTTCTGCTTGTCAGTAAATTGTTTATTTTTTACTTGGTACTGAGCAGTGATCGTTTCCTCTCCTTCAATAACTGCTTCTTCTTCTTCTTCTTCGTCCTTGTTTATGACAGAATCTTCGCCTCTAAACGGAGTACTGTCATAACAATCGTCATCGAAGATAAGTTTACGCCTAACCGCAAATCGTACAGGGTCCGTTTGGACGCTCTTGTCGCACTGGCGTACCCTGAATTTTGGAGTTAAGTTGGAAGATAACATTGACACGATAGGGCTGGCCGTGTCGTTCTCGCGATACTCCATATATGGGCTTTCTCCGCCAGGAAGGTACCATACGTTACCTGATTCAGATCTGCGGTAGGCAACCTGTTCTACAGCAGTATTAACGGGGAACGTTGTTCCATCTGCCCAGTAACCATCGTCCTTTATCGGACGAAAATGTGTACGAGCGGAAGTCAATAAATCCTCGTCTGGTTCTGGAAGGTTACTTAATTTCAGAATCGAAGGGGATTCTATGTGACTTCCATGAGGAAGTTTGCAGGATGCCACCGGAAGGGAACCAACCGCTTGTATGTTCCGTGTCAAATATACCCAGTTGTCTTCGGTTCCTTTTCTGCGCCAAAGGTCATTGCTAATCAGGTCCGGCCAATTTCTTGCATTTTTTGTGGTATTATATCCTGCAACAAGCGACTTATATTAGAAATATATTAGAAATGGAAAGAAAGAAAGAAAGAAAGAATAAGTGAAGGCAGGATATCTGTTTGTAAAAATGAGAAAGGAAAGAAAAAGACCAAATTAACGAAAAAACCAACAAAATTAAAAAATCTTTTTGTATTATGAAGTAATATTCTAACCTGCATTATATTTGAAGCTATTCTCCGCTTGGTCTTGGACATTGATTAGCTCACTGTTCTGCACGTCATTGTCGGGCGCATCAAGACGAGATCCAGGGTATAATGAGTCTATATCAATGGTTTTCCCATTCTTTGAGCTAGATGAATATACACTCAAGGGAGAACCATCAGGTATAGTAAATACCGGTTGCGAGTTTGGAAATATAGCAGGAGCAGGAGGGATTATCCTGTCCTGCAGGAGCTTACAGTCCTGCTGTTCCTCTTGTATATTTTGCAAACCTGCATTCCAGATAGCCTCAACATCCTCATTGAATTTTGCCTGCAATCGAGCTAACTGTAGTCGTTCAATTTCCAATTGTAATCGGTCCTTTTCTCTTTGCCGTTCCATTGATTCAACAAACCCAAAGCTGTTTTTACTATCCAGCTGTTGGGAGTCGATGCTATTCACAATAGATACGTTATTATTTCTATTGTATGCTTCGTTATTTTTGTTGTACGAATTAATTCTGTTGTTTGTGTTGTTACAATATGTAGTGCCAATGTTCTTTTCCGTCCACCGAGAAATCTCTTCTATCAATACAGGTTGCAATGAGACTGTGAATTCTTCTTGAGTTTCATAAGCGCTATCAGCAAGCATGGATGCTTCTATATTCGTTGCAGGTGCGTGAAATTCTTCGTTGGGCACTTTAAATTCCTCTTCCATAAGGTTTGCGTCCCTACCATCCACTTTATCTAGCCTCGTCATCACTTCGTCAACCAGCATCATTATTCTTGATAAGTTTGCCTGGATACACAGAGATGATGGTGTTTTGAATTAAAATTAAATTATCCCCTTTCTTGTAGTTTCCTCCAATTTAGAACTAAGAATGCGTATTTACATTTACGAAAAGACGGATAATGTCACACTAAGCAAAAAGAATCAATTTATCACAGTCTCATTCATTCATTATAGTCTGTAACTTTATTTGCATTTGGCACAATATTTTTCTCATTGCTATCAACTGCGTCAACAAATAGAGTAAAATATTAGGAGTAAAATATTGTAACTGCTGGAATTTACATTTGCAGCGCAGAAGATTATATTATAGTCTAGAGATTCTAGTTACATGTCGCACTGAAACTTACATCGAAACAGCTAGCACCTATCAGACATCCCAGGGCAATAGCTCGTCGTTCAGCTCGCATCCAGTTACCAAGTGTCTCCAGCTCTTCTAGGGATGAGGCAAATAGGTGTTGTCCTGTGTATGTGTCTACTCCGACGATCCCTTGTACGGTACTTAGGGCCGAGATGGGGTAGCGCAATAGAGAGATTAAAAACTCCAGGTATCTGGATACGTTTACTCCCAGTATACACAGCTCTACATAAAGCCACATGCGCAACTCATCCTCGGCCCTTAAGTTGAAGAATTCACGCCCTAGAGGGGACGTAGCTATCCCAACCAGATGTTCTCTCGGGCTCCTCATTCCCTCTTACAGAATATTCCCCTAGACCCAGAAACTCTAACAAACTCCACTACCCCTCGGGTGATCATCTCTCCTATAAAATTACAAATAACATTATCATTTTAAGAACTTATACGAACACTGTAAGGGTCCGATAAAAGGGACAAGATTATTTAAAGAAAATTGTACGGACTCACCTATATACAGTAAGGTATTACAGTATTTTATTATTGTCCTTTAATGTTTCAATTTAACTGAATCCACCACCATAACGCTCGGGCTCGTCAAGTATTTCTTTTCAATTCTTATTTGAAATTCTTTTTTTGGCGTTAAGTTACTTAATTGCCCGGGAACGGTATTAATGTTTCTTAGAGTTTCAGTTACGTTGTTTAAAAATTATTTAATTCTTGTATATAGGTGGTGGATGTATTATTAGAGTGAGGCTGGCAGGTCTTAGTGAAGGATAACAAGTATAGTTTCCTTCCCATTTTGACACTGTAAGTTAATAAGAAACATCTTAAATAAACATTCTGGTAGAGAAAAAGCCTCACTGGTTTGCAATTGATGTCTTTTCTGACATTACATAAAATTCAAAGGTATGATTCAAAATATGAACGATAACAGTAAAGGACTCATCATGTGTTCCTCATATATCCTAACTCCCTTCTACAAATAAAACTTTCCGGAAGGCAATACAATTCCATAGTTTTTGAAAGCCCATTGCGTTTGCCATCAAGCTAGAACTATAGAGACAGTTTCTGCGGGTTCTTCTAAGCTCTCACTAGTACACTTTTATATTAGACTTTTATCAGCGTTACCACGTATGTTCTCAACTATCCAAAATAATCACTCCATCGCAATGTTAGCGTTACGTATATACTTCACACATCACATCCACGAACCTGACATCTCACTGAAGCAAACGCAAGGGCTGTCAATAAAAGCGCGAAGGTCGTTAACGATTGTTTTGACAATAGCCCAAAATGTACAGGACAATAGAATGTATCGCGACATGCAAACGAGGCACGACAAACGTACCTAGACCCGGTAGCAGCCGGAGTCAAACGTAATGCACAATGTGCGTGCAAACATTGTGGCGCACATTGTGGCGGTACGCGCGCCTGAGACCATTGTGATCGCTGTCAAAGAGACGTCGTTATCTATAGATACGCGAGAACGCATGCGACCAACGTCGCTGTTTTCGCATTATCTCCTTCGGCGAAAAATACTGCGACGCAGCGCACGGCCGAGAAACTGACAACGCGACGTAACGTAACGTGACACGCGAGAATAGCGAGACGATCGCCAAGAATTATCTTTCCTTCTCTCTCTCTTTTTCTCTATCTCCATCTCCATCTCTCTCTTTCTCTCTCTCTCTCTCTCTCTCTCTCTCTCTCTCTATCTATCTCTCCTTCAGGCGTGTGTACAGTGGCACGCGGTGTCCGTGACGCGTGCCTCGCGCGATTCTCAGCGGTTATTGGCGAGTGGCGAGCACGAGAGAGCATCTCCCGATCGGGCAATGCAAATAACCTTGCCGATTGCGCTATATAATGTTTCGCCTGAGTCATAGCTCTGCCCGGAACGAAAGCCCCGTGTATGACGTTACGAAACGCGCGAACCGCGACGTTCGTTGGCGCGAGCGAGATTCGCGACGAGACGCGCGCGAGAGGCTGCCCGTGCGCGAATGTCGTGCCGAAATGACGATGAATTCGGGTTCTTTCGACGTACCTGCATGCCTCGAGAGATGATTCTCACCCCGGCCTCTTCTACACACCCCTCTTAGTGAAAAACATGGCGAGCTACTAATACTGAAACTTCCAAACTTCCACTTCCCATCTCAGCCGTGGAGTCACAGCGTCGACACAGTGATGCGTTCGTGTTCTTCTTGTCGCATGTGCTGCTCTCTCTCGTCGATCGCGCGCAGTGAACACTCGCGAGGCGAACGCGACGCGAGAATATCTCGCGCACTGCAGTGGATGCAACTGGGCTGGGCGAATCAGCCGCGGCTTCCAGCTAATTCGCTTTAAACGAGCTTCGTCAGATGCACTCGCGCGTTTCGGAAAATAATTCGCACTCTCTTTACGCGATCCTCCCGACGGAAAATACCGCAACTTGATGATCAAACAAATAATATCTTGCTAACAAAATAATGTCTCGAATGAGGCACTTCGATCGCGCATCGCACTGAATATAACTAGATAGCCGCAATGTTCCTAGGTCGTCCCCGCGCCCGAAAAGTTCAAACGCACTTCGAAATGTTTACTTGCCAATTTAACTGTAAAAACCAATACGGCTTAAATTGCATTTAGATGCGATATGACACATTGCCGTCCTTTCTACAACAGTGAGAATCGCGACGATATGAGCGTTGTTATGTTCGAGAAACACTCGTCGACGAAGCTTCGTATTCGCACTAGGTGCAATAGGACGAACTCAGATTTTAGTCTACTTTGAGGAATCAGCTTGTTAAAGACGTTTCTCGAGAAGACTGAAGAGTAAACGACTGCAAAATTAAGCTAAGGACTTTAACTTATAAAGATCTTTCTGACAACGCATTTGGTTAGTACAGCTTCGGCCAGACGGAGTGTCGTTGCCATCTTGAGATAACGTGTAGCCAATGAGAAGGCTCCGTTCCTTGGGAAATGGAAGTTGATTCTTGCCAATACTCTCGCCTATACTTTTCATCCAACCAACAGAAGGAAGGAAGGGAGGAAGGGACACATTGTTCGACTCACACGTATTTGCTTTGTTGTGTGCATTTAAAGGTTAGTGATTTATGGATATGTCTCTTTTATTTCCTCAGGACTTTCTTAAAAGTCATAAATCTCCCGGGTTGATGGTTGAAAGATACTCGAATAATAATTCTCAATACTACACATTTCGTCGTCTCTTTTCGTTTATTATTTAACAGGCTATTAATAATGAACAATTTATGACTGCGTGGAGCCGTTTGTCGTTTTCGTGCCTGTTTGGCGCACAAAAACCGAGAGAGAATCTTTTACTCCTCTCACGATGAAATAATTCGACTAACTTCCATGTGAATATCGCAAGTTTTACTTGCGAATGTAACAGATGTTTCGAGAGTTCGAATCGGCAAAAACATCGATCAATCGTCGCCGGCAGGCGACATTCTTGCACGCGGCGTTTAATCTGAAAATACCGAAAGCAGACTCGAGTTGATTTATAATGTGATATCGTTGTTACGTTCCATATTTAGATGCTTCTCGATCTTAACATTCTGAAGTAAGAGGACCAATAAGACAAACCCGGTATGGGCTAGGTCGGGTGAAGAACAAAATGTCTTTACTGTATAAAATACAGAGAACGTTTCGCGAGCTGCAAATGCGTGCGATCTCTTTCGTACATTTTGCATTAGACATTCGAGATTTATTTATTTTATTTATTTATTTATGAGACGAATTTTCAATTACCAACAAACGTTCCTTCATATTCGGCGCACTAGGTGTCACAAGTGTCTTCACGGCTGAAATTGCGCACATTCTAGACTGGTGCAGCTTTCATCTTGATAACGCCTAACGACGCTACTTTACATTATTCCATCTGTTTGCTTTATTTGCACTTTTGACACTTTTTTATATCTCACGCCGGTTGCATACTCTCTTTAAAAAGAAGAGCTCTCATTGGATATCGCGTTTGATGCGCAACGGGCGTTACATGCAAAAGTGTCAAAAGTGCAAGTAACGCGATATAAATCTCCAGTTTTTCGCGAACTTTCCCGCCTTGGTATTCTTAGCTCGAAATTTCTAGACGTTCCGCGTCCGTTACGATGTAATCGCATCTTGAGATTGAAAAATCGCGATAGCCGGCGGATTTCGCGTTGCCTGAGAGAATCCTCGCAACGTGAAACATCCTGAATGTCGAATTTAAAAGCTGCAATGTCGCGAGGTTATTCCTCGCGTAGGTTACACAGGTAATATAGCTATATCACTGCGTTGGTTCTGAGATACAAAATGGACGATTTGGGCGGAAGGGAAAAGGAAGGGAAGATGGAGTGAAAGCTCTCGAATGAAATTCGGTAAGGCAACTTATTTCTTTGTAATTTCAGGCTCGACAGATGATGACAAAGACGAATTCGAATGTCCTGCGACGCTGAAGGTGCATTTAAGACGAACAATAGAGGATCGTTTATGAAGGTAAATCGAAAGTCCACCGGCCATTCGGAAATGCATAGGCGAAACATAGGCGAGCCGAGTGAGTAGACCTTTTTCTTTTCAAGCGGTATGTCGTTAATATCGAGAAAGTTTTCTCTAAGTTTTGAAGCGACCATTAGTAGGGCTATGTTCGAAAACGTTGGCCGAATATTTTCCCTCTTCCTTTATCTCATTCTTACGTCTCTCTCTCTCTCTCTTTCTCTCTCTCTCTCTCTCTCTCTCTCTCTCTCTCTCTCTCTCTCTTACACCAATACAGCGGATGCACCCGAGTGATGTTTTCGAACGCAGTCTTAATCACGGCTAGAACAATAAACAGCTTGAACAATAAACAATAAACGCAGAATATAAATAAAAAGCAACCGATTTTACACCGATTTTACAATATTTGCATATGACAAAATGTCTAGCAAAAATATCATTCGTTACGGCATACTTTAATTAAAAAAATTAATTTAAATAAAAAAAGACATCCTTGTGGTATTGTAATTATTTCAGATGTCTCCAAGACATTTCTTACTCGAACATATTTGTGCAGTCTGGGACACCAGATAATTGAAATCATTTATCAACGCGGAAATTGTATTTGCCGCTTTCGTCTTGATTCAGAGTCTTCAATTCAGCAGCAAAGTAAATATAATAAATAATGGAAATTTTTCATCATCCAGAATGCACAAAGCACCAAGAGATGTCTTCGAGAGCTTCTTAGTTTTTTTCTTAAATATTTTTAAGGTTAAAGTCTTTAAGGAATTTTAGACATCTTAAATGTCTAATTTTAGTCACGAATTCTTTCGACATGATGCTTGCCATCTATCCATCCTAAATATCTTATACTTTCGAAACCTTTGCATTCTATTTTTCTGTATACTTTACTTACTTAACTCGCAAGAAATATGTACAAAGTGTAACGATAAAGGGGGGAAGAAGCGCGGACGATCAACAGTATCTCCGATACAAAGTTTCCCATCGCAGGTACGATAAAACAGCCGAATCTTTATGAGAAGAAAGGAAGCAATTCGGAAGAGGCGGAGGAGGAGGAGGGGTGGGGGACGCTCGGTCGTTGGTTCTTGGCGCGGTTCCCGCAACGGATGAAAGAAAGGGCGCAGAGGAGAAAAAGGCCCGACGATGTATAATCTGATATCGAGGCGCGGATAAAAGCCCGGATTAAAGTCCGGAATTAAATCATTTCGGGCCCCGGCGAGAATCCAGCGAGCGGACTCCGATATTAATCCACTGGCGCGCTGTACACGTCGGCTCCGCTGCACAGATCCATCCCCCTCGTTGTCCACCCTCCTCCACCTCCTCCTCTTCCTGCCACTCTCGCCCGACAACGGTCCCGACCACCCCTCGTCCTCGTCCTCTCCGCGCCGTGCCATGGCCGGGTTCGCCGAGGTTAGTCGCTTCTCCTGGGGAACCGTCCGAGAGCTGCGCTGCGGCGACAGGGTGCACCCGGGGGTTGTAACCCCGTGAGATGGGCAAGGGATGAGGAGTGGGAGGGTGGTGGAGAACGACGCATATGTGTGTGTGTTGTGTAAGGGCGGTTTTGCCGCTGCGCAACCCGCACGACGCAGACAGCAGCCAGCTATATACCTGGTTCAACGACCACCGCCCTGCTCTCGTCCAACCCCGAAGTACCCAGCCCGGCTTGAGGGGGATGCGCGACGGTACTCCCGACGACAGGGGCGCGAAAGAGAGCGGCATCGGGGAGGGGGGGGGGTGGTGGTGCTGTAGGTTGGCGAGGGAGAACGGCGGTAGCGTTGGCGGGGGTGGTGTCGGTGGTGGGTGGCGGAATCGAGGGGTACGCTGGGGGTCTCGCGAGGCAGCCGATCGGCCCACGGGCCAGTTCCGTCTCGAGCTCAGGGGTAGAAGAGCTACTGGCCGCTTGTCTGCTCCCTTCTTTCGCTATAGTTTCATTTCTTTCCGTTTTAGTTCCTCTTCAGTTCCGATTGATTGACATGTACACGTATAATATATAACCGCAGTATCGGCACACGTACACGAAACCGCATATACATACGTACACGCGCACACATACAACACATATACACACATACACACCTGCACGCACAGATACGCACATACACACGTATATATATATACATATACATAGGGTATATATTCAGCCGACGCTCTCACGCACAACGTCGTCTCCACAAACGTTCACACACACACACACATACACATACACATACACACATACACACACACACACATATAGACACACACACACACACACGTACATACATACATCGAAGCTAGAGAAAACACACACACATATACCCGGTGTATACACACGTACGCATACGTACAGTGACATATACGATACACGCACACGGTAAATTCGTTTGTTCGTTGTTCGTGGTTGAATTCGCAAGCACGATTAGTATACCGACTTTCCCGTCGTCGGAGTCATCGTCGTTATCGTCGCCGTTAAATGCACGGACACACCCGCGCCCAGTATCCGAGTATCCTTAGGTCCGTACCTGGCCAGGTGTACCGGGCCGTCGCGTAGTACCTGCGTCTGTTCTGTCCATTCAATGCGCGCGTGCATCGAGCGCGAGTTCGTTGAGTTTTAGGAAACGTAATTGCCGCCTTCTCAGGTACGTGCAAACATCATCGTGTTACATCGTGATTAAGTGTGCCGGCAAAGGGCCGCGATCGTTTACGAATAGCATCTGAAGCGCTCGTCCGCTCGCCACGCGATCGTCACCTCTCCCGGTGTGTGTTTGACGAGAACCCGGACCGAGAGGTGTTTTGTTCGGGAAACCAAAACCAAGTTTCGCGCAAACAGGTCCGCTACCTGATTTCATCCGTCTTAATCCGATTAATACAGTGTCGACACCTTGCGCTCCAGGGCGCCATTCGAAATTTCTTGTAAAGCCAAAGGACGCCGCGCGACTTGGCTCCTTACCGCCTCTAAATCCAAATTTAGACCAGCTGCCGCTTGTTTGAAAGCCCGAGAGGCCGCGCGCCGTGGCATTTTGATTCTGGATTTTACAAGAAATTTCGAGGGGCGCCGTCTCTTTTACTCTGCGCAACGGGTCAAAATTCCATCGCGATTACAGGACGGAAGAAATTTCCAAATTAGCGCGAATCGTCAATCCGGATATGTCCTTTTCTATTTTTGTCTCGGAATATCCGCTGACTATCGGCTGAAACGCGAGACTCTGTCGAAAAAGATTGCGGAAGAGATTTTGCCTCTTCCAAGGCTAACAACAATCGCGTGGCGATTGTGCGCTCGTCGGCTCGTGCAAGTTTCACGAGGCAATTACGCGCGAGGCTCCAGCTGCGATTCGAGAACGGTGTTGTGATGTGTACGAAAGCATGCATTTCTCCATGTTTGCTTTGATTCTTGGTAATCCATTTATTCTGCCATTGGTAACATTGTCTATACTTTAACGTACAAGTAGTTATATAGCGTAACGTAGCTAACAGTAACTCTTTTTTTTCTGACAACGATATCATAAACGACCATAAGAAATGTAACAAGTATCATGAAAATACACGCATACATATGCGTAGTAAAGTATGCTGCGTATCGCTCGACTGATAAGCTCTGGCAAGCAGCGAAATCGCTTATTGTCACGAGTAATAAGGTGTCGCGAAGGCATCGTAAGAGAAGGTCGGAAAAATGCGCTCTTTTGTGCGTTCGCCGTGTTGCGTTGTGAGAGAGAATCAACGCTCGCCGTGTGTGCGAAGAGCAATACCCGTGGCCCGTTATACTCAGGAACGTAAGAGGAACGAAGGCTCATTACTAACGCGCGTAGTTAGCATCCGTCGATTCGATACAATCTTCCCGAAGCGTACAATCTCTCCCCTCCCTCTCTCTCTCTCTCTCTCTTTTTCTCGTCGATCGACGCGACGGATCAACTCTTTGACCAAACACGAGAATTCATTTGCATTTCGCACGAATCAACGGCGCCCCCCGTCTTCCTTCCATCGGAGCCCGCTGCTCGTCGATACTCTCTTATCTCACGGAAGCTGCCCCACAAGTGCGTAGATAACAGCGCAGCGGTGCAAACGCGAAAGCAAGCCCCCGGCATCCCTCGTCTCGTCCGTGTTGTACGCGATGGAAATAGCCGGAAAGGGCGAAGTGCGTGTCTCACCCCTTCACGGAAACGTCCGTACCTCCGCGGATTTCGCATCGAGGAGGAAATCCGAGGCGGCACGATCGTTATCTGCGCGACTTGACGCTCCTGCGAGGTATCGTCGCTCTGTTCCTGCTGGTCGCGAGCTCCAAGCCGCCCCGCGTCAGCTGATTGAAATCGATAATGGTGAGCCGTGGCTCAGCGGGGGTGGTGGTGGTGGTGGCGGCGGCGGCGGCGGCGGCGGCGGCGGCGGCGGCGGCGGCGGCGGCGGCGGCGGCGGCGGCGGCGGCGGCGGCGTTGGTGACGGCGGCGGCGGGCTGGCCCGTCGTCAGGGTTTGCACCCTGTCGAATGGCGCCCCGGGGCTCCGGAACCTGTAGCTCCGGCTCCTGCACCCGCCGACGCCCGTCGTTCCAGTTTCACTCGCGATTCCGGTTCCGGGCTGGCCCATCCGCGTGCCGCTCATCGATCGGTAACGCGCGCTCGGGAGCGGCTCAGCAGCCTCCTCCCGGAAGTACCTGACGATTCGGCCCGAGATTAGCCGACAGTCGTAACGACTGTAGTAACGTCGACAAATAGCGTGCAGCGCGTGCAGCGAACGGGCGTTATTTCGGGTGCGAGCTAAACGAATGGCCGTCGCGAGCGCGAATTGCATCTTCCACCCCTTCTCGCACTCCTCGCACTCCTCGACGTCCGCGAGGCTATCGAGCTCCCCGCTCGGAGAGTTATCGCGTTCACGAGACGGACGGATTTTATTGTTTATTCGTTACGAAAGAACGGACTGACTGACAAAACTGTCGTTCGTTGAGCGAGAGGAAGATTCATCTTGTCAAAATTGCAGTCATTTTCTATCGCTGTTCCAACGGAAAGCCTCGATACAAGGTAGAGATGTGCGAACTATTCGAACTCGAATCGAATTGAATCGAATCTAATGTAATTCTATTCGACTCGAATCCGAATCCGTACGATTCGAATAGGAATGAAATACATTATCGTTTGCGTACATCGGCTACGTGCAACGGGCCATCTGGGCCCGTATATTTAAACCCTTAACTTGTAATTAACTTAACTTATAATTAATGACTTAATTATAAATTACTTTAAATATTTAAATATATATTTTACTTTAAGATGATATATTACAATATCAATATTCCCTTTCATATTAAAATCTTCCATCATTATTTGCATGTTTGATAGTCGTGTTAAATTTTTCAATGATTCGATTCGATTTCATTCGATTCGACATAAAAATTCTTGATTCGCACATCTCTAATACAAGGTTATTATGATTAATATGATAATGACACAAGAGCGACTCTGAGCTGACGATAATTCTTTCACAAATAGCAAATATGCTCTTCTCAGGGTAGACGTTCGAGCAAACGACGCGTTTCTCCTCAGCTTAGTTTTATTCTCGCTGCGAGCGTCTCGCTGATAATGGCGATAACTCTGCGAGCCTCCTCTTTCCCTCGCGCGATCAACTTTCCACATTCACGCGTGAAAAGTTTCGAGATAATTACTCATAAATGCTAGCGAGGTGCAAGGTCGCCGGGGTCCTGACTGTTCTCGGTCGGGGCTCCCTTGGAAGACGATGTCTCTGTCGGGATTGACGCGTCCGCCTGTTCGACGGCTGATCAGGCAGTCCGGACGGGATAAGCCCGGTGAGCTTGTAGTACTCCATGAAGACGCGAGCCAGATTACGACCCAGCCTGTAATCTGCGATCGGCACAGTCTGACAGTCAAGGCGTGAAATTTGTCCAATTGAACGTCGCCGTCGTCGGCCGATAAGATCCGCGCGTAATCGTGCTCGCGACACGCGATCCAGCGAGATCGAAAGAAAAGAAGCAACAACGACTACGTCTCGATTCGCGCGTTCATTCATTCGCGATCGCTTCGACGTGCCGTCTCTCTTGGCACGCGGCTGACACGAAGGATACAGCCTTCTTCCGTGTAGGGCATTATGCCGGGCATCCCCTTCTTGTTGTAACCGTGCATGGAGACCTCGATGCTGTAACAGTTAACGTGCTCCTTCAGAATGGAGCACAGATAACGGCGAGCGGTCCCGGCTTTGTTATGGTCCTGATTGTACATGGTGTTGCCCAGCTCGTAGTCCTCCGCGTGTTGAGCCAATAATTTCGGCAAGACAATGTGCCTCTCGTACCTGAGAGGCTGGCAGCCGTCAGTCAGATTGGATTATGTGGGTTCATGCTTAGTTACGAAGGTCACGGCGGTTCTTATTCTTTTCTTCTCTTTTCCCTCTTTGCTCGCGGAGACGTGACTATTTTCACGCCTCAACGGGGTTCGGCTTAACGAGATCTCTCTAATGTTTGTCACGTGGTCGAAGAAAAGGGTTAGAATTACCTGTAGACGTCCTCGTACGTGCTTCCGTAAACGAAAACACCTGTCGCGTTGGTATGCGCATGCAGATCCAGCACGCAGTCCAAGGGTGTTTGCGAATTCTTGTCGAGGGACATGAGCAGCGATCTCGTGGCGAACAAGGTGGGGTGGATCCACTCGGAGATGCGGTTCCACGATCGATTCAGGTCCAAGCCCATCACGGTGGATCTTTGTGAGCGAAATTACCGCAAAATCATCTGTACATGTTTCCTGCCGCGACGTCCTTCGCGGATGATACTTCATCGCCGCGAATTGGACGTGAAGTTTAGTCTTCTCATCGATTTCTAATTTTGCTCGTCAACTAGGGGAAGGATAGCGCGCGTGTCACCGCCGAAGTATTAACGCTTCGCGCTTCAAGGCTACCTCCGGACTCCCTTACGAGCCTCGAAAATGTCACGGCGGCTCTTTCCGGGGCTATTAAGTCAGTTTAAAAACTAGCGACACTTGCTTTGAACTTAGATTTAAATTTAAACAATAAAAAGTTGGATTTAGGAATTTTAATCTAAAACGAAGATATCGCAGGTTTCATGACATTTAGATGGCGCCTCTACGGCAGGCCAAGTTGCGCAGTTGAAATTATATGTAGTCGAGCCTTTGAATTTTCTCGCAATATTAGAAAGAAAGGAGAGAGAGAGAGAGGGAGAGAGAGAGAGAGAGAGAGAGAGAGAGGGAGAGAGGCAGAGTCACTCTCACCTGTAATTTCCGAGAAAAACGCCGTCCGGGTTCAGCATCGGCACTATCTTAAAGATCACGTACTCCCGGAGTACCTGAGCTATAGGATGCGCGCTGACCAAGAAATCCATCAAGCCCTGACACACGAAAGAAGACGGCGACTCGCCCGGGTGAACTCTAGCGAGGACAACGACCACTTTTCTAGGTCGCTCCGTGTCTTCGAGGTCGGAGGTTATAGTTATGAGCTCTACACTCCTCTTCTGGATCGACTCAGCCAGCGTTTCCCGCTTCGTGTACAGCGGCCTGCCGCACAGATTGTCCAGGTGTCCCAAATAGCGGGTGTACGAATACGGATAAGTCAGGGCGAACTGATAGACGTCGTCCTCGCGGTCGAACGCGAACGCGAAGCTCAACACGTAGTGATTCTGATGTTGCGCGGATCTGTAGTAGAACACCTGCAAGTCTCCGCCAGTGGATCGTGTTAAGCGGTTCATTTGAATGATTCTCGATTTTCTTTATCCCCCCGTTTTGTTAGAAAGTGAGCAAAAAGGACTTTAGGATTCTAAAATTTCGATCTCTCTTCAAGTCCTTCAAGTCTCTTGAAGTTGTTGTGAAAATGAATTGAAATGAATTGAAATGAAAATGAAATGAATTGAAAATGTTTGTTCTCGAGAGAGGGAGAGAACTTGCGATCGTCATTCTGCGATTACACACGCAAATTATATAGTAATATATATAATAATATATTTTGATAAGAGGCTAACGAGCTTGACTCGACTCGATATCTGTTGGTTAAATTTACGACGGCCGTAGGCAGCGTATTCGCGATTTGCAGGGCTGATAATTCTAATTTGGAAGACTGCCGGTAGTAGCCGACGAGGTAATTGGATATCGGAAATTCGCGTTCTGACAGTTCTCGAGTTCCTCGAGATCCCAATCGTTGATACCGCCGACATAAATATCGGAGCATCTCCGCCCTGATCGCACGGAGGAGTCTTTTGACTCGCATTATCGACGAGACCGTTTATGAAAAGTAACATTTTGCCAGTTACAGCAATTATATTAAATTATATTAAAGGTCTTTAATTGAGATACAAGATAAGAGCGTGGAACTTGGCTCGCAATGCTCGAAGACGCAAAGCTTCGTCTCGCAAAGTGTTTAGCTTGACATCCGCGAGTTCTTCAATGGGAATTACACGATTATCCGAAACGTCGTCGTAATTATCGTCGCTCTTCAAGAAAATTCTCACCTGCTCTCGCGGTATCCGCTGCCATTTCGGCCTGCTGCTGCTCTTCACCAGCGGCGTCATCCCTTGCCGGAAGAGATTCGCGCTCTTCGAGATATTCACCATGTTGAAGATCACCCGCTGGTCCACCTTCACGTTGTCCACGGTGAAGTTGAACCACATACGCAACCGGGGGCCGCAGGTGTCGGGCCTGATGAAGAGATCGTACTCGAACTCGGAGATCAGGTCCACCCGGCCGAGATTGCCGGTCTCGAAGGTCGCGTCGAAGCAAATGTGGCCCCTCTTGGCCTTGCCGCTGTGGCCCGGCGGTCGCATCACCATCTTGTTCACGTTGCCCAAGCCACCCTCTGCATCGCTGTCTTCGCTCTCTGCAAAAAACGGCGCGCAAATAAACAGAGAGATAGACACGATCTGGGGTGGCGCGACGAAACATCGAACGTTGCGGGAACCCCTCGACAACGTGAGCAAAGTGGACAAGGATTACTCGCGAAGAAGGATGTTTGATCTTGAGATCGAGAATTTCATGCGACGAAAACACTTTGGCAAATCTTTTCTTTTTACGACGCGCGACGTGAAACAGCGAGAATGGCTGACCGGCGCGCTGGTAAAGACTAGTGTGCTCCAGGGGATCACGTCCCTCGCCAGGGAAGACCATGATCCTCTCTCTCTCTCTCTCTCTCTCTCTCTCTCTCTCTCTCTCTCTCTCTCTCTTTCTCTCTCTCTCTTTCTCTTCTCTCTCTCTCTCGTTGTCTCTTCAAATGGCTCGGAACGATCTATCGCGACGACGATGGACGCTCGGTCCGGCGTTATCGGGAAAGCGGTGGCGAGGCCTCGCGGGCGATCAACGAGAACGACGACCATAGAGCAAAAACGACGAGACGAGACTGTGACCTATCGGGCGGAAGATACGACGCGGGACTGACGGCAGCGTTGATATTCCGGGTATCCAGCACCTACCTTCACCTACCGTAGCGGTAGGTGTTAACACCGCCTACGTGATAAGAGCGGCACGCCGCGCCGCTCTCTCCGCGCCTTCTCGTGCACGTCCGCCTTCGTGGCGTATCCCCACGGTGATTTCGTGATTTCTCGCGGTGGCGCGGCGGCCCGCGCGAGAGCGGTTCCGTGCGAGAAATGGGAATCGGATCGCTAATCGGGGGCTAACTCTCGCGTGGCTGCCAGACGTCGACGATCTCGTACGTGAGATATCTTTCGACAGCCGCGAGTTTCTCCCCTCGCACACACCGGAAAGATCCTCCTCCCTCGCCCCCCCTTCCCGGTCGCTGATACACACGTACACGCACGCAGGTCTAACGAGAAACTCGTTCTCGGTCACGAGATTCGCGGAAGCGGGGTGAGGAGGGGGCGAGAAATCGGCACGGTTCTCTCTAGATAGATTCGATTAACAGATTAGGGGAGGGCACATCGGTGATAGCGCAGCGAGTGCCTGGCGGGAGACGCGATGGTTTTACGGGTTTATACGAAGTCGACGAGAGAGAGAGAGAGAGAGAGAGAGAGAGAGAGAGAGCGTGATGCGGGGATGGATATATGAGTGGATAGCGAGCGGTGCACGCGCGCGTCGCGCTCTGTTCTCCCGGAGGTCGATTAACCGCGGATAAAAGATACCGGCCGGCGATATTCCGGGACGGTCGTTAGTGGTGGCCATCGATTACACGCGTACCCTCGTCGTTATCGCGTGTCGTGTATAAAGTTTCGTCGGCGGGATGAATCTGCCAGATACGCCCGTCACAAGCGCTTTTTACCGGAGCGACCGCGACGGAGGGCAAAATGCGGAAGAGCGGCGGGAGGAAATGTAGACGTGTAGGCAATGAGTGCCGCGGTGTTTCTCGACTCGACCTGTCAATACGGGGCGGAATTTCAGCGTTCGGTCGGCTTCATCGTCGCCCTTTATCATAGAGACACAGTCCGCTGGCGGCGGCAATCGTTACCGGATCTAAATTGAGATCACTCGATATCTATTTCCGTTCGACCGCTCGACGACGCAAATGTCGCACCTGATGACTTACGACGCTATAGCTGTCGGCCGGGGCAGGTAGGCCGGCTATACCGAGCTTGCGATGCAAGATAGAGGTTGGCTCGTCAATGATTCAGAACACGGAAATAAAAGGATCTACAAAATACACACGCGTACATACAGCACGCCATTATGGAACGCGTCGAGCACTTTATATATCCGTTGAATAATAATGTCTCGCGTAGCGCCACGTACGACGTTGTTCGCCGGCGCGAGTCGCGTTCGTTACACCTTATACTTTCGTAGCAATTTATAAGCTCGCGCGTCACGTACCGACCGGTCGTCATTAGCGCGAGTGAATGTTGACTCGCTCAATGACTCGGGAGTATTCCGTCGATCGAACGATCTTTCTCCTTTTCCGGCGAGGAATTTGATTTCTGATTTGCGAATGTATTAACACGCGAATCTGTGAATGGGGAAATATTTATTGAGAAGGGAGATTCTCTCCTGAAGGAGCGACGGGGTAGTTTTAAATTTACAATTTTTCAGCGATTTTTCAACGAAAGCTTCTCTCTCATTGAGTCTCATTGAGTCAATAATGATTTACTTTGCCGTGATGTTGCAGAGACACGTTCGCCGGATCCGAGCGACACGATCCGTCGCTTGATAATTGAACAGCATATTTGATCTGTGAAATCTAATCTGTGATCCACGCGTTATCCGAGCTGAATGTCCGCGATGCACGATAAAATTATCTTTGAATTATTTGAGCTAACCGTGTCGATGAGTTATTTTTGGTCGAGCGCGATGCGAGAAATTCTCTCTCGGGGGATTGAATGTTTTTTGTAATCTATCAGAGTGAACGATTATCACCCGTTCTGCTGTGTTTACGTTGACGAGACGGCGTTGCAAAATTGAGGACGAACCGGGGAAATCCGGTAGTAATGGCAGGTAGTAAGGGCAGTCAGGGGGCGCAATTAAAAGAGAAAGCTCGGAAAAAAAGTGGAAGAGCGAAGGGACGGAAGAACGAAGGAAAAAAAAAGGAGAGATCCGTCGCGGCAATGCGCATGGACGAATTCGCGGACTGGATCCCCGTGACAATTTCCGTAACATGTCCGTGAAAAATAACGAGGACAATTTTTCATGCGTGCGCTTTTAATTACCGCGACGACTCCGTCGTTCGTAGAGTTTGCGAAATCGATAAGACAGACGCTCGCTCGCGCTCCGGCGAAAGGCTGTCTGAAATATTAATCATTTTTACCAGGGCGACACACTCACTTCATCGCGACGGTTAGCTCGCGCCGCTCGCGCGAGTAATTAAACTCGCAGAATGATAAATTTGCCGGTTCGTCAGATAAGAGAGATGCGTTGTTGCACGCTCGGGAATTCGGTGTGCGGCGAGTTCCAGCAGCAGCGATCGCGGTTCGCCGGCCCGTAGAATCGATCGATTTTGGAGGGGCAAGAAAACGGAGCGACGAAAAGGAAGAAATTTGCGTAAATCCGACCGCCGTGCAACTTTGCGCCGCGGAACGACTCGCGTACGTAAACGTATACGTCGCACTTCGTGATTTCGCGTGATTGATCAACGAAAGTTTTACGCGCGCGGCGGAGGAAACTTTCTCGGTACCGTTCTCTCTCTCTCTCTCTCTCTCTCTCTCTCTCTCTCTCTCTCTCTCTCTCTCTCTCGCGTGCGACTCGAAAAAGCATCAATTAACGCGTCTCCCGCCGCGGAAGAGCCGGCAGCGGTTTCGGGCGCTCCGCTGATTGACAAGCGCACGGTGGAAGTCTCGCCTCCACGTGACGTCGCTCTCGCGGGGCCGAGAGAGTTTCGGGTCGGCACGGGAGATGGGTGAAATGTCAAGGTGCAATCGGCCCGGGCGCGTGATGATCCTCGCGTGAGCCCTCGGCGGGGCTAAATCCGATCGATCTGACGGATCACGCGGCCGTGATCCATCGGGCCAACACGGACGCGTCCCGCGTGATCGCGCGGACAGATCGCTGATAGCGCGAACAGTCACGAACGCGGTACGGGCCGGCTCTGTCGAAGACGACGATAACGACGACGACGACGACGGCTATTGACGAGCACACACATATGTACGTACCGGTGTCTTCAGACATATCGCGGCTCTCGGCTGGACTTCAGGCCGGAGAACTTCACTCGGACCACGACGGCCGCGACCACATAGACTGCGCGACACGGCCGGTCGAGTCAGTCCATCCCGGTTTCCTTGGTTCCGTTGAATCGATATATACTTCGCAGTGAGCGCGCTTATCTTGTGCCGCAGCGTACATCTGCACGGCGAAACGCGAACGAAAAAGTAAAAATCATCCTGGCCGACCCGGTGAGAAAGAAAGACCCGGTGAGAAAGAAAGAGAGAGAGAGAGAGAGAGAGAGCTGGTCGTCGCCATGTCACATTGCGAGGCCGCAGTCTCTCTGTGAGATTCTCTGCTGGAGAGGAAAGATGGCTGGTCGGTGTTTTGTTACTTTTTATTTCCATTTATTACAGTTTTATTTCACGATATCCACTCGTCGGCGACATTTTGACCTGATTTTTAAGACGTACCGTTGGAAACGTGATTAATTCGCGCACGTTCGCATCGGGCGATCGACCACTTTTCTACTTTTCTCTCAAACGACGCTCCTCAGAACTGAAGCGCGATGTATCGCGGGTAAGGAGAATAAATTTGCAGTATCAAGAGCGATCGCTCTCCCGCGACTCTCCTCGACGACGACGGTGGCGTTCGAGCGTTTCGCTGCTTAGCGCTCAAGATCAAAACGATTTCGCCTAGACGATCGGATCAGACGCTAATTACAAGCCAGTCCTCGTTATTTCCGATCCCACGTAGCTCCGGGGATCGTTCGTTCTCTCCCACAATTCGACGGGCTTATGTAACACCCGGACGGGGATGGATAGGATGGCGAGCAGGGGTTGGGTGGATGAGTGGACACGTAATTCGCGCGCATGAAATTCGATCGTCACAAAGGCACACCGGCGGAGCTCTCTCTCCCTCCCTCTCTCTCTCTCTCTCTCTCTCTCTCTCTCTCTCTCTCTGCCTTCAGCTTTAGCCGCCTTCCTCTGTACGGCACGGCACGCGTGCAGTCTCTCTTGCCCGGGCATTCGTGCACAGCCACGCTCCACGCGTGTGCAGCAACACGGGGGCGTAAGGTGTGCTCGCACACCTATTGCTGAGCAGGCTCCCGGTTCCAGCGGGGGAGCGATGATCAGGGATGGGAAATGGTGGAAGGGGGTAGTTAGAGGTGAGGGTGGAGGGTAATAGCGCTTTCGTTGGCGCTACGGCGGCGACGGCGGGGCATTTCCGCGAATAATTTGGCGGACGAGATGATGACGTTCGCTCGCTCCACGCGACGCGACAAATTTCGGCTCGGTGTAATAAAGTAGATTGAGACGTACGGCGCCGGTGTTTGGTCGGGGATATTACTCGGCTCTCGAGTTTTAAGAGAGACCGGGGAATGATCGCGCGAGTAACGATGAGTTATCGCAGGCACTTTGTATAAGTTTGAGGAGGGGACGAACGCGGGGAATTGCACCGGATCGCTGGCGACGGGGGGACGAGTGTCCGTGAATCTCCAAGCGGGACAATTATTGATGACGGAGAAGTATTTCAAAATTAGCGTACCCAGCGTAACCCCTTGGATCGAAGCCGTCCTGCGAGAGGAAAGGGTGTTTCGCGCGAAAGCGCACATTTCGCGATTCGCACGCGCGCTTAGACGGATACAAAATCGGACGATCCACTGGCGCAGGTGAATTATTCCACGCGTCTTTCGAAAACCGCCGCAAAACCGAATGGATCCCACCTAGCCTGCTTCAATCTCGTCTCCTTTGCGAGCGCAGACAACCGTGAAAACTGCGAAAGAGGCTAACGGTGGTTCGTAACGAATTTCCAAAGGTAGAGCGCGCAAATTAGATGCAGCGCTGCGGCGTAGCGGAACGTAGCGGGCAGAGGGGGTGGTGAAATAATTCCACGCGAATACGGTGCTGCAGGATCCGGTAAACCAATTTCTCGGAGGACATTTTTCTGGATGTCGGTTAGTGGTGGTGGTGATGGTGGTGGTGGTGGTGGTGGTAGTGGTAGTGGTGGTGGTGGTGGTGGTGGTGGTGGTAGTAGCGACGGTAGTGGTGGTGGTGGTGGCGGTGGTGATGGCGCGTTCCCTGGTGAATGTCCTCCTCCCCCGGGCTTTGGCTGGGACCTCCGGGTAAAGCCCCTTTCGGCTGCCCCTCTTCCCTATCCCATATCCCTTCCACTCGCTGAGAGTACGGGGTGCGCGAAACAGTGCGGCGAGAGGGACGTGGAACTGCACGGACGGAGAGTGAATGACTGGGAGAGAACGTGGGAGATCGATATTCGAAAGACCCCCCCCCCCGCCGGCGGCCCCGTCTGACGCTGGCACCCCTCGATCTACCCTCCCAATGGCGTAGGAAGGAGGATACTACCATCGGCAGGGGGACGGAATAGGCGCGCCGCTTTTCCCAGGACACTCGGAAGCACAAAGAGGACGCGAGCGAGCCCGTAAATTATCCGTCGCGCCGTCCTCCCGGAATTTATGCGACCTCCTCGGGAAGGTGTCTAGACTCCTTTGGCGATTAAGACGCGGCAGCGGCGGCGACGGCGACGACGACGATGGTAGTGGCGGCGGCGGCGGCGGCGGTGGCAGCTGGGGGTGGGCGCGACCCTGCCGTTCGATCGATCGCCGACGATCAGCGAGTTTCACGAGGAAGTGCACCACTAGTCGACCCTCAAACGCTATTTTTCGACTACGCCCGTCCTTCGCGATCACCAATTCATAGCGACACACGCGTCGTGTCGTGAGTTATTTCCCGGGATTATTATAATTGCAAAGTAGACATAAATAAAGAGCTCGCTGCAGAAGTAGAGAGAGAGAGAGAGAGAGAGAGAGAGAGAGAGAGAGAGAGACTAAAAGAGAAAGAGTTTCCTCGCTGCGTCGTCCGATCGATAGGTTGATTATTCTCAGCCGCTGTTCATAAATATGTCAAGACACGGTCGAGAGGACAGTTATTTTTTATCTCGGGAATTAGAAGACACGCGGTTGTGGTGACTATAATTGTGGGAATATGATCGTTTTACTTTCCGTTCGTGTCGTTCGTGCGTTCGAGGTATTCCAAATACAACGTGTTCCGTATGAGATAGATAGTACGTTTCGTGAAATTGCTCTTCGGAAACACCGTGTTTCAGAATATCGCATCGCGATACGTACGCGATATACCATCGCAACCACAAGCGAAATCGCGCGTCTCGAGTACGTGATTAGCCATATCGTCGCGCAACTCGTTCTCCTACGCCACTGACGCACTTGGACTGACCCTTATATGCATACGTGCTATTTACCATTAGATTACATCCCTCGTCTCTCCCTCTCTTTGTTGTCCCTTTCCGCTTCTTTCTCTCTCGCTCTATCCTTCTCTCTCTACTTTCCCCGTGTCTACCCTCTCCCTTTGTTCACTGCTGCGACTCCTCTGCTCCGACGCGCGCCAGCCTATCTCTCGCATATCTCGTAATACCGAAATGTATAAGGCCACATGAACGAGACCAATTGTTTATCATCGCGTCCAATGTCTATCGATCCTCGCTCACAATCTACGATGTGACTCATTAAGGAATCATTCGTTACACGCGTCACTCGTTAACCCCACGCCGTGATCGGCGCGACAAACAAACAGAGCCACGCACGTGTGTTGATGAGAGAGCGAGAGAGAGCGAGAGAGAGAGAGAGAGCGAGAGAGAGAGAGAGAGAGAGAGAGAGAGAGAACAGAAAATATTACGATCGATAGACCTCGTATTTTAGCGCTGCCGTCCACGGCCTCCGATCGCAGATGAGATCGCAATCGCGAGATAATTTTCTGTCCGCAGCGCGACGGGCTCTTTTTATATGTGACGCGTTTGTACGAATTTTATACGCCTGCCTTATCGTCCGATATCAGACAGAGAGCGCGCAAAACAGCCGGTATAAATAGAATGAAATAGACGGGATTACAGTCGTATCGCGCATACAGTTACGGTACATTTTACTCGCGGATCCGTCAACAATGTTGCGAAGAGACAATGAAACGAAGCGTTGCGGGGATCTCGCGTGACTTGTTTCAGACGGTTTACACGAGGACAATTAGGCGCGTTAATCGCGCGATTGGGCATACGAAATAGCGGCGTATTCTCGACTGCGACGAGAGGACACGTTCGCTGTGTTTCACGCGAAATTGATTAATAACGTCGCCGCGAGCGATGAGATTCCGGGGGATGCAGTTTCGTCTCTCGTCAAACGGAATACGGGATTCGCCGCATGATGAAATTTGGCCACGTTCACGTTACCGAAAAGCCATTTGCCAGGGGAACAGGCACTCCCGACGAGCTTTTCCACCCTCCGTCTCGCGGCGCTTGCGCCACTCGGTCCTTCACCAACCCTCTCCCTCGCTATCTTCTCCTCTTTCCCTGCTTCTCTCTCTCTCTCTCTCTCTCTCTCTCTCTCTCTCTTTCTCCCTCTCTCTCTCTCCTTCTCTGCCAACCCTCTCTCATCTCTACCTTTCTCTCTTCTCGCTATCAACCCCTCTCCACTTTGCATTCTCTACTTGGCGCGTGCGTATTTGCAACGACACCCTCACCCTCACTACCACCCCCTCCCTCCCCCCTCGCCGTTCGTCTGCCTTTACCCCCTTGCTCTTGCACCCTCTCGTTAATCCAGGCGATGTACAGTTGTTGGGAAAAGTTCTTGTGCACCCGCGACATTAATCATGCCGACTTTCTGCAAAGATCGGCGATCATGATGCAACACGATCGAGCGAGATGTTCGAGTGAGATGGTCGAATGGAAACCTGTTCAAGCTTAGAAAAAAAGAAAAACAGGGGAAGAAAGGTTTGGTCAAGTCGAGGTCCAAACGCACTCCAGCGCTTGGAACTCGTCCGCTTCACCCCTGTCTCGAGCCCGCGCCCCTTTTTTATCCCCCTTTTTAATCCCGCCATACCGCCGACGGCTACGGCGTTTGGAAGTTGGCAACCATTGTCTTAGCGACCCCTCGGCCGACATCCCCCTCGTTTCTACCCCCTTGCATTTATCTCTCCATTTTTTCTTCGTCTCCTCTCATCTTTCCGAATCGGCCATTCTCGCGACGCTCAGCGCTTGCGAAATTTCATCGTCCCCTTTTCGAACTTGAAGCGTTCTCTCTCTCTCTCTCTCTCTCTCTCTCTCTCTCTCTCTCGGCCATCCTCCAGCTCGTCGTCGTCGTCGTCATTATCGTCGTCTCGGCCTTGTTCCTCTCTTTCCTCTCGTGCCGGATGTCGAAGGAGACAAGTGAAATATCGTCCGATCATAAAAGCAAGCTGATCTGCTCCTCCAACGTCTCTCGGCCACGTATTTCTCCCTTTTTCCCCCGTAATTATCGATCGGTCCGCGAATAACCACGGCCGCGTTGCTCGGATTATTTATAATTATAGATCGTCCATATTCGTCATGCTCCTCTTTAGCAGTCCGAGGAGGTGACCGTCTCGTGAGATTTGTATCAATTACGTGAAACATTAATTGGTAGCATAGCATAAGCAATCGAGGCCAGACTGATCACCGCGAGGACCTATGTGCTATTATCGAGTTTCTTAATTTTAGAAAATATCACCAGGTCTGCGTATCGATCGGCGAGCCTGCGTCGCGATTCTGCAGCGCTTTCTTCCTCGTTGATGCGCCGCGGCGAAATCCGCCGGTCAGAACGTGGAAACGTTTATCTCGCTCTCCGTTCCGCGGACCCCGGTAATTTGTGCGCGCGCGATCGTCCTAATCAATAATGGCCGCCCGTGTCATCCATCACGTCGGGCACGTCTCTCTCTCGCGCGCGCATAATGACTGGAAAGAAAGAATCCCTCCATGGCTGCGCCGCGATGCGATGCGCGCTCGATGTTTGGAAATATGTGCATCGGAGCAACGCAAAGGACCAGCCGACCGACCGACCGACCGACCAACCGACCAACCAACCAACCAACCAACCAATCAACCAACCCCCGGCGATCCGCGGAGGGTGCAGACCGCGCAGATCACGCTTGCGCGACCTCCCATCCCCGTCTCGACGACGATTCCTCTCCGCCGTCGCCACCCTCGCCGTCGGACCTCTCTTCCGCTTTCGCATCCCACGACCTCGCTCTCCCCTCGTTGTCTCCCCTTCAGCCATGAAAGAGCCGAGCGTCGAGAACGCGCGCGCGGCGTCTGCGTACATCGGCCGAGCCAAGCTTCGTCGGCCGAGCTTTTTCGCGATTCTTCTCCTCCCACCCCCGACGGACGGAGGTCGCGAAGACGGTGGGGGTGCGCGTCGGCGGCGGCGACGGCTGGCCGGAGGGTGCAGCCATCGGCGTCGGGGCTCGGCCCTATCAGTTTAGTTACCGCACCACATAAAGGCATTGCGTTGTAGACACCGTTATACCCGCAACATTCTTACTATTTGCTTGCATATCTCCTGATTTTTAACCCTTCGATTCGGTTAAAAGAAAGAATACATTCGGTTCGGTATCGTTCGTCGTCGTACAACACAGTCGCCGTCGCCGTCGCCGTCGCCGTCGCCGCCGCTGTCGTCGTCGCCGTCGCCGTCGCTGCCGTCGTTGTCGTCGTCCTGTAACATTCGGTTGTCCCACTGCTTTGTCCCATCCACGTGCCGATCGAGCGACTTCGTCGCGTCCTCGTCGTCGTCGACGCCGTCTTCACACCGCCGCCACCATCGCTGGAGAGAAATCGCGTGAAGAGAAAGAAAGCGACAAAGAAACCAAGTTCCAACGAGAATCTCTTGTGGAACGGCGGATGTCGTGCGACAAGAGATAGAAGTTCGCTTCAGACTGCGATCGGTCGAAGATAAAAAGAGGAGGAGCGACTAGCGCGTTCTTCCTGCTTTATGATTTCGTTCGTGCCTCCCTATCCCGTTCTTCATCATTAACCCCGTCTACGTCCGCGAGCAGCAGCTCCTCCAGATCGCTCGTCCTCGACCCTTCTCCACGATCCCTTCGATCGATCTCTCCGACAGTCGCGTCGCGTCGATCACGAGGACTCGTGAACTCGTTCGTGAACGGATCAACGCGGAAGACGGTGCGCGATTTTCTCACGTGGTAACGCGACAACGAGAGAGAAAGAGAGAGAGAGAGAGAGAGAGAGAGAGAGAGAAGCGCGTGTCGTTAACGAGAGAGCGAGGGAACGAGAGATCGTCAACTGGAAGATCTTTTAATCGGCAGAAGAGGAATCGGCAGAGAGAGAGAGAGAGAGGGAGAGAGAGGGAGAGAGAGAGAGAGAGAGAGAGAGAGAGAGAGAGAGAGCGAGAGCGAGAAAGAGAGCGAGACAGGGACAGATAGGAGAGGGTCCTGCGCCGGGGGTGGGAGTGAAAGAGAGACTACTGGGTGTGTTCGGGTCCGCGCGCGCGAGATTTGTTTATTCGCCGTGGCGAGATACGCGAAGCGCGCATAAATATTCGAGAGTGCATCGCGTGTATGATCCGTCGCGGGGGGGGATCCTCGTTCGGAGCGTGGAGCGATGAGGGGTTAGTGTAAACGTGCCGTGCAACTCGATGCCGGAACTCTCGTGCCGAGGATCGGAAGCCGGTTCCCTCGGCTCGCTGGCGCTCGCGTCCGCAGTTCGGATGTTCGTGATCGCGTCGTGAGAGATTCGCCGTCGCGCGCGCGCGCGCGCGCGAGAACGTAAAGTTGGGAAGGCTGGTTCTGAGGAGGACACGAGCACGGAACAGGGAAATACGAACAGCGAAACGAAAGAAAGACAGATATTCACGCACACACCGCGCCGCCCGTCGACCGTTCGAAAGTTCCGCAGGGTCCCTCGTGCGATCGTAGAGAAAGGCGAAGAGAAATAAACGTAAACGGGGAGACGAGTATATCTCGGCGTCTAGAGAATAGAGAAAAATAAAAGTTAATTCAAACAAAAACCCACCGTCGTTCCGTTCTGCGCCCAGATATCGGCATCCTCCAACCACTGATTTTCATCGTTAACCGGTATGTTCATTTGTTTCTTTACTTTCGTTGTTTCTGTGATTCACACGACTTTATCATTACCGTTATTATTATCATCTTGTTATTATTGTTGTTATTATTGCCGTCGTTATGATTATTGACTAATTACTAGCGATCCGCGTGCGCTCGACTGCTCGAACGCACGCCGGATCGGCCGCCGATCTTTACGTATGTATACTTTCTCGTCCTCCGTGTGCCGGGGCTCCTCCTCGCGCGAGGAGGCGTCCTCCGGCACCGCTTAGGTTGTCCATCCACCCTTTTTACGTCCTGAGAGATCTCCGGTGCTTCCGCCGCTTCGCTTCCGCGTTCGCCACTCCATCTAACCAGCGGCAAGATCATCGCTCATCGCTCATCATCGATTCAGAGCTTACTGATCATACGTTCCTCTGGATCTTTGATCTCACAGTACAAAATGAGATTTTGCGTCGATTTGATACAAAGTTCTAAAGATTCTCAAACAGAACGAGGTCCGTTGGTACAGAAATTGCGCGTCTCGTGAGAAACGCGGGAGAAATTAATAAGTCAGAGATGCTAGAACACGTTGTTCGTTCTCTGCAGAATGTAATTTGAATTGATTAATTTGTAATTTGAAGTAATTTGAATTGTTGATTTCTTTTCTCGATAAGACATTACTCGTGTAAAATACGCAAGCTGACCGTGAAGCGCATTACGATCTCTCGACTCTGATTTTGCCATCTGTGATTTTACTATCTTCTTAGTTGAGATCTGCTTTCGTCGTTTCCGAGGAAAAATTGCGGTACCTCGCGCCGCTCGCGCAGCCAAAGTTTCGATCGTGCGCGCGAGGAAGATCGCGCCGTCGCGTCGCGTCGCGTCGCGGCGCGTCGCGGCGGCGGAACCGACGGGGGACGATTGCGTGATTTCGTGCAAGGAACGCGTTTGCGAGTACCGAACGCGGAACTAGACACCAGGACTCATTAACCGGGCGAAGTTGCATTAAACGTCGATCAGCCGCCATAACCGCGAGCGTTGCGTCCAGCAGCTGACGTTTTCCACGCCGCGATATTGTGTGCACCAGACCGCGCTATCTGGGCGTGGCACCAGAAAGTGACTGTCGCGGGAGCACCACGTAGCAACACATACACACACATACACAGAGAGAGAGAGAGACACACACGTACACGAACAAAATACATGCGATACCCACGTATATATATATATGTATATATATATATATATATTACACACACACACACACACACACACGTCTCTTCCTCTCTTCCTCTGTTGATCCGACCCCTATCGATCCCGCAGGAAAAGAAAGAAAAAAAGGAAAGAAAGAAAGAGAAAAGAAACGGCGAAATCGAGAGATAATTCAGTAGCGAGGACGGCGAGCGTCGTGATGCATGAAGGATCAAACAGGTCCGGGATGGAGCGACCGGCACTGCGGGTCCTCGTCGAGGACAAGCAGGATGTCTCGAGAGGGACACTTCCGTCCGCGACAGCCTCGATCACAATGGTGCGTGAGCCAAAGACAGGGGAGAGATAGATGATATATAGCCGTGGGGGGGCGGGAGCTTGATTGATTAATTGACTGATTGATTGATTGATTGATTACCCTCTTTTCCCTTTTTGTCGGACTATTCGGCCGATTTTTTCCGGCATCTCGTCGACCGGGTCTCGTCGATGAGGAGATCTCGTTTCTCAAGTCGGGAGGATAAAAAACGCCATGTTGTCGAAGTTATCGTGCCGCGAATAGGGAAGGTCGCGTCAGTTTCTTCCGTTGCACGCGCGAACTTCTCGCCCTGTCGTCCTGTGTCGCAATTGACGATTAACGTCGGCGAGAACGAGAGAGACACGCATATAAGATCGTCTTATCTTATTTCCCGTCGCTCTCGCATATTTACCGAAGGGATTTGCATTCGCGATAACATCGCGACGCGGCGGACACGGTAGAAATAAGTGAAAACGTGTTGGGAAACGTCAGCCGCGGCGCTGATTAATGGGCTTCATTTTCTACGCGCTCGGCCGAAGGATTCTCGAGCGAGCGTCGAAATATCAAAGATTGGCCGCGATTCTGCAAAGGGTGACGAGGCAGGCACCGGTGGTGGTGGTGGAGACCGCGGAAGACGAAGATAGAGTTACGTTTGGCGAGAGGGTGCGACTGAAAGGTGCACGTTGATAGACGGAAAAAGAGAGAAACTGAGAGCGAGAGAGGGTGGAATAGAGAATGAGAGAGCGAGAGAGAGAAAGAGAGAGAGAGAGAGAGAGAGAGAGAGAGAGAGAGAGAGAGAGAACGAGAGACTAGGTCTAGTTGGGGAACCTCGTATTGATCGTTCCTGGGTCCATGCGACGCGCCTGCGTTTTACCACGGGGTAAAATCGTAGTAAGGGTAGGAGAGACAGAGAGAGAGAGAGAGAGAGGGTGAGACGGGGGGAGACGACGAGGGAGGAGGTGGCGGAGAGAGTAGCGTATATATCGGGGTTCATATACCCCCAGGGTAGCTGCAACGTTCCACCGTGCCACCGACCAATCAATGGAGCTTCTCTGTATCTGCCTCTCCCTCTCTCTCTCTCTCTCTCTCTCTCTCTCTCTCTCTCTTTCTCTCTCTCCGACTCTTCCTACGTCGAACATATACAATATGATCGCCCTGTAAAATAGCGCACAGACGCGCACTCATAATACACATAGTACACACGCGTGCACATTATGTGCTCGTCGACTACGATATAACACGCACCGCGCGCGTACGGACGCCAGCGAGCATGTATAATCGTTGCTCGAAATAGGAAATGTGCAGCGAATTTTCACGCGAGCTCGGCTCGTCGTCTCGCGGGGGGTAATTGATCGCGGCCGACGGTAAAATTGACGCTACGGTCAGTTTCACTCCCGCAATTCCCGCGAGTCCCGCGCCGCGCCGTGCCAGGGAATTCCGGAGGACGTCGGCGTTTGTTTTCCTCGCAACGGAGGGTTAATCCGCGATCGTTGCGAAGATCCACTCGCGAACAGGTATCGAGGCTTGAATTTAGAGCGCGCACTTTTGACGCTTCACCGGGCGGATGGCGGCGAGTCACTCAGCGTGGAAAAATGGACGGAGGGATTAATCGCCCGTCAAAGATATCGAGCACGTAGCACGATGCCATCGAATTAACGAAGCTGCTCTTGGAAAGAGAAAAAGAGCCTCTCATTTCAGCCAGCAACCGTTCCCGCAGGTAGAAAAAAGTGTCCTTCGATCTCGCCGGTGTATTGAATTTTGACCTCAAAGTGCGGCAAAGAGCTGTCGACATTTACATTTAAATGAAAAAACGTCCACGACCGCGCGCGGCGCGGCGCGGCGCGGCGTGGCGGGGGGAGAAACGAAGGTGAAGGAAGATGAGCTTTAACTGTTGACGAGCCCGACGGGCTCGTTATTACGCGGAGTGACGGAGCTAAAAAACAGAGGTTGTGTGTGGTTGCAAACGACAAGATTCAGCGTGTTTTCAGCGCGACATTATCCGAGATTGCAACTATTTTCGCATCGAACGAACGAACGAACATACATATTCCGCCAATCCGTAATAGCCGGCATTAAAACTTGCCCTACCGCCTAGTTGCGCCTAGAAATGTCGAGCGACGTTTCGCATGCTTCGGCGAATTAATTCAGCGCGCTATAAGCGCTCTACTCCGTCGCTCTTCCTTCCTTCCTTCGCGCGGCACAACGAGGGCTCGTTACTTGCCGGGGTGAAATCCCCCGTCGATCACGAGCGACGGCATTGGCGGTAGGCGCTTGTCGCGAGGAATTCGACGATGATGATGCCTCTCTCGCACAGAGCGATCGGCGCATCAATCGCGCGCGCGCGCGCGTATCCTTGAGAGAATGGAATTACGTTCGCGCGGAGAATCGAAGTTAAGTTCCGCCTTGAGTTCGTTCAAACGACGACCGACGCTTTCGCGTGACGGCGCGTTCGCGAGCGTTTCCCGGTATTTCTAAATAACTTCGTGCTCCGTGTCGCAACGTCGTGTGCACAACGGCGAGGTCGGGATCGATTTCGAGCACGAGTATCGACGGGAATCTCGTTAGGGGTTCAGTGAACCCCGAGAAAAGTTGTCGGGCGGAATTATTGTTCCCAAGGTATAGCCCCGAGTTGAATTACGCTCGCTGTGCCCGCCGTGGCAGATCGATGATGCCGCCGGGCTAACCCCCGAAAACGCAACTTCGACAGCTGGATCGTGACTAAACTAAAGAGGGTGAGGTCCGCGCGCGCGTCAGCTATGTCGACAGGAATGATTCACGGACTCGCCACGTGCTCGTCGGTGTGCTTGCATATTTTAAAATCTTCAAGAATAATCCTAGCCGCTTTAGCGTTTTACCCGAGCCGCTCATTAGCTTGCAGATTTTCATTTTATCACAACCGTCTGTAGAGGTAAAGATCGTCGCGCACATTACCGCCGCGACAACAGCCGCACCGTCACACAAGCTGGATTTTGGCTATCTTAGGGGGCTATCTCCGGGGACGGAAAAGATACAATTTCCATCTAGTGATCGGTACAAAAATAGGAGATCTGTCCTCATTACACGGGAGAAGCAATTTCGTCGGTGTAACAGAATTTCCGTTGCCCGGTTGCGAAAATAGAAATCAGACAGGAAAATCGATTGTAAGAATAGAAAGAACCACGCAGGATATTTCTAATTCGGTCAATTCGGGTACATCGAAATACCACTTTTCGTTCTTGAATTTTCGTCTGGTCTCCATTAAGTTGCACTTCCAATTGAGATCTTCTTTCCATGCGATATCGATGATACCGATCTTATCCGAAATAAGAAGGATGGCCTTTTTCTAAGGCCAGGCTTACGAGACCGGATCTTTTTCACTGTCGATCGTGACAAAGTGCTCCTCGACGTTTGATAATTCCCCCTCCCCCCCCCACAGCCGCCGATGCGATCGGATCGCAAGTCCAGTGGACGTGGAGGTTGTCATGGACATTTGACAGAGTTTGAAAAAAGACGCGCTCGGAGCAAGGGGTGAACTTTGCGCAGCGTCCAC